CTAAACATCACTCTCAAGCTTTATGTTGAAAATCAACTCTTGGTGGGTGATCCGAGACATGGAGCGATAATTTGTTTAATTAATGCCTAGTCGTAAGTATATCTTATCTTAACCGGGCTTATGTTTGTGTTTACACTACTCAGCATCTGTTCGGCGGCGCGGCGTGGGCGAAGCAAGTGTGGGAGGGGAAGGGTGCGCGTGGCAAACACTAAGCAGTTTATACCAGGGATGAAATGTTACTATTAATAGTTCGTTCAATTTTGTGTTTTAAATTTCCGTACAGTTGAATGTGTACGAGAAATGTCGCCGGGAAAAAGGCACGCTGCCGCCATTTTGTGTCAAGGAATTATTATTTAGTGACACATGCTCCATTGCTAGAGTACGATGACAGCGGCACTGCTGTGCTCAATTACATTTAATCAGTCTTGATATAATTACCTAATTGTAGTGGGTCTGTTGTACACAACTCAAGCCCGCATTTTTCGAATGAGTTAACATTTTGTTTAGCTCACAATAATTGAATATATAATTATTCTCAGTTAAACTACGAGCCTAGCTGTTTCTTTGAAATACGGGAGCCTGAGACAAGAGAAAAACGTATAATATTTCATTTGACCTTATTTCACATTCAAGCCATACAAAATAATATTATTCTTACGCCTCGACTCAATTTCGCTCTCACGGGCTCCTTTATGTTCTCGCTTAGTTCGAAACATTTATTTCACATTTTCTGCAAAGTTGTCGGTGTTCGTCTCAAATTTGGAGCATATTTTTTTTTGTAAATTATGTATATTACTCACACATAATAATAATAATAATTTGAGATAATTTTATATCACTTAGATCTAGTGACATTATGTAATTTAAATAATTATATTATATATTTAATTTTGTATTTGCATTTGAGGCCGTCAGCGTAAAAGTGGATGGCGCATTTACGTTGTGGATGTCTATGGGCTCCAGTAACCACTTAACACCAGGTGGGCTGTGAGCTCGTCCACTCATCTTAGCAATAAAAAAAAGCTTACCATAGTAATAGAGATAATTAGGTTCGAATTTACATTTACAATACTTCGTAGGCAAACAAAATAAGCGCTAATATGATGTTTACAAAGGCATCTATTATCTATAGATGAAACTAGGGATAGGCCGATTTTGCATCAACATTTATTGTGTTTTAAATAAATTGGAATAGGTACATAAGCACGAATATGAATTTTTGGTTAGGCCACATTTACACTGACGGGCTCGTTTATGAAAAAACGAACTAATGCCCCGCCTGGTGCTAAGCGGTTACAGGGTAGACTAGAGTTAAATACCATAACAAAAAAAATTATATCAGTTATATATTTTAAAATTCTGGTTAGAAATTTCTACAGCACTGAAATATTTCTAGCAATAAATTAAATAATAAATTAACTTGTTTATATCAATTTTAAATAATTAACTTGAATTTTTTTGTATTTAATTGCCTTGAACAGCGATTACCTAATCAGTTAGTTTACAAACATTATTAAATTACTTTTAGCTGGAAGAGTGAGCACTGTCGGTCAGTGGCATGAGAGACGAACAGCAGACCCGCTATAAAAAGTCAGTTTGTTTACAGTCTCGCCGGATATTACAGGGAGGCGTTTCAACGGTAGACCGCATCTACATCACACGTATAATGGCTATTATGATCTTAATTGATACGTAATTCGAGGCTATTGATAATGTGACCATTCGTCTGACGTAACTTAATGATGTACCAATAAAACAGATAAAAGAAAACCTATAATTTTAATAATATTTAAGAGTATTCGTATCTAAGCTACCTATTTTAATGTGGATACAGATATCTGCGGGGTTCACGTACGCATCGTAAGTTCTTATGCTGTTAGAAGACTGAGTCATGGCTATTGTGTCGTCGTATAGCCATAAATAGCATCAAAATGTAAGAGAGCGCCGAGACAGCCGCGCACATGTACTTCATCGTTCGCGGCGTACTCTAGAGCCGTCCTAGCGTGCTCAATTAAAATTTAAAAATTCCCAGGGTTTTTTCCTATTCGTTTATGTGATGATGCAGAGATTTTTATAAATAATTTTACCCTAGTATTATAACTATCAACTAAATAAAATGCTCTATAAAATTACTGTGCAGTAGGCGTGAAAAGGTACCTTAGCATTCATATTCAAAGTAAACGATTAAATTAAAAATATTTTTCGCGGATAAAATCCATAAAGTATGTAGCCATCTAACTCAAAAGCTACATAATATGTAAAAATCATCACAACCACCTTGAGATAAGCTAATGTAATTCCATCAAAATACAGCTTTATTAAGTCACACACATTACTCTCGCACGAGTAGGCCCAGACAATTCATTTGAGTCCAATAAACGTTTCCTAATTTTGCACATCCGGCCTCTAATTTCAAATAGAGCTAATACACGACAGACGTTATTAGACAAATTTGTCGTTTCGTACTCAGCCAAGTTACTTGCTCAAGCTTGTGCTTCCATGTTTTAATGAGTCGGAAATCAAACTGAATTATTGTTAAACAATTTTATTTTAATTGTCCCATACCTACGTGTATAAATAAGATAGAAGTTTTTTGATGACTTTTAGGCCATTAAATATAAATCGGATTATTTGGTATAAATAATATTTTGTTAAACGATAAAGCAATTATAAAATTAATTTTTATAAAATTAATTTTATAATTGCTATATATAATATATTTATTAAAATAAATTTACTGGTGGTAGGACCTCTTGTGAGTCCGCACGGGTAGGTACCACCACCCCGCCTATTTCTGCCGTGAAGCAGTAATGCGTTTCGGTTTGAAGGGCGGGGTAGCCGTTGTAACTATACTGAGACCTTAGAACTTATATCTCAAGGTGGGTGGCGCATTTACATTGTAGATGTCTATGGGCTCCAGTAACCACTTAACACCAGGTGGGCTGTGAGCTCGTCCACTCATCTAAGCAATAAAAAAAAAAAAGTGTGTATGTTCTCTCAGTCTCATAACGTATATCTTTACTTAATACCCTAAATATCTTCGAAGTCCAATGTGTCTTTACAAAGCCACTGTTATATTACAGTCGTATCTATTTTGGATAATCCAAACGGTTTCTATTTAGAAGTGGCAATGAAAAGATAAGGTATGTGAGGTAAGATTGCTGATCGTGGGAGGCATGATTCTCGGTTTTATTCCCAAAGAATTTAAAACATGTGGGTACGACATTTTTTGGTTGTTTTAATTTTGGCATTCCGGCTAATTGTGTCACAAATATCCACTATTAATGAAAATCTTTGAACACACCTAAATTAGAACGATGTTTCTAAGCACGGATGCTGAGTTCACACAGGTGTCCCATAAGTAGTTCCCGAGATTACTCCCCTACACACAAACAAACTATTTAATATCTTCATGAGAGATGTGAAAGTGTAGGCGCGATCTTATCTCCGGCTTCCGCCATTTTTAAGTCAATCAAATTACTCGAATGGTGTTGACAATACCTATGATGATTAGTATCAATGTAAAATGTGTGCTAACTACACAATCTACTACTAGTACTCAAAGAATAAATTAGGAGTATAGTTAGGAGAATATGGTACATAGAAGTAGAAGTAGTTTGAGGTATTAGGGCTTTCGAGGCTGTAGTTCTAGATTAATAACCCTTTGGACAAATACCATGTAAGATTACTTGAATATAGCTAAACAGAATGAGTTCTTCTCGGACAACGGGCTTAGAACAATCACTATTAAAATTCAACGTAAAAAATGGAGTTTCAAAATAAATGGTGTTGTAACATCTCCATATAAATATCCATACTTCCATACTAATATTATAAATGTGACGGTGTGTTTGTTTGTCCTTCTTTCGCTTCAAAACGAACCTATGGATTGGCGTGATTTTAAAGTGATAATATTAGGTCAGGAGAGTGACATTAGCTTTCATCTCGAAAATGTTTGCACGGGAAACTACACCAACACATTTTCTTGAGCACGCGCGCGAGCCAGTGGGTAAAAAGCTAGTCATCTGTATTTGTACTACTAACCTGTATACTGTCTTGTTCAAACAAATTTTCGTTGAAAGTTTCTTTTCAGGTAGACAGCCTTAAAAAAAATTCAGCCTCACCGCCAAATTGTGGCCAGTATCAAAGATATGTTTCAATTCATACACGCATATTTTTCGCTAAAATACACATTAAACAAATGTTAGGATATAATTCTTTCGATTCCAGCAGATAAAATATTGACCACTTAGACTGTCCGTGGAGAAACAAATATTTTGGCACGTGCTCTTTGCGTCAATATTTCGATTCATAGCCCAGAAACGTCAACTAAAGCTTGTTTATTTATTACGACAGAATTAGTACATAACCCGCCGAAATCGTGTCCGTGAGACTAGAAAATATTTAACTGAGGAATACGACAATGCGACAGAGACTGCAGTTTTAAAATTCAGAACTATATTAATGCTCATGTTATTGAGAAATCAGACTAGCATATATTCATTTACAAAATCAAAAACATTCCAATATATTTATGTAATGCGTCCTTGTCATTGTAAATATTATTCGAATGTTGTAAGCTCTACAAATTCTTATTCAAGGAATATTAATATTAGCTTCCCTTTCGTTGATCTTTCTAATATAGACAGTTGATAAATGTAATAGTAGTCACAGTAAAATATCCTAGATTAATAGTTCATCTGGCTATTCATCATATGGGTACACGATACCGGCTACTTCTAGTTTCTGCTTCTACGCTCCTTTGACTCTTCCATAATGACAGTATCCCCTTCTCAATTATCTTCTTCCGGCTTCTTTCTATCTCCAGCTCTTCTTTCTGTTATTATTTATTAACCCAGCCATATAAGTTTTTGCAGTAATAATGTCCACAACACGAAACTTCCATTTCGTGTTTCAAGATGAACGGTGTTATTCACTTTGTGATTTATAATAAGCCTCTTATAAAACCTCATGCTACATACTACTTTATACTTTTTCAGCATATGGTGGGGACGGGTATGGCGACCCCGTTCCCTGCGGCGGCGGCGGCTGCGGCTGCGGCTGCACAATTTGCCGCTAATGGCGATGCCCTTGCGGGAGTGAAGGCGGACGCAAGTGGCCCGACGCCCTCTTCACAACCACCTCTAGTTAAAAGCGAAGGTCCACCGACATCGACAGCGCTCTCGACGAACAATTTCTCACCCCAACCTCAGTCACAGCATCAGAATTCAATAGAAAACCAGAATAGTTCAGTAAGTAGCACCACTTCCGCATAACACGTTTCTTTATTATTTTACTGGAATCCCAGAAACTACCGCCGGAACATTGTAACACTAATCTAACTCTTATAGTTGCCTCGGAGTAACGACTGTCCCGCCCTTCAGACCGGAAAACATCTGAATCTGTTAAAACAGATGGTACATCTTAAGTATTTATAACACTTTTTTCTATTTCGTTCTGTTGTGGACATTAGGAAAAAAGTTACTATTTCCAATCTTTATTTATGCTCATCCATACCTAACTAACCAATTAATAATCAATATCTGTTGACAGACAAACGATTAAATAACAGTTAATTGTTTCTCTATATGTATGATCATAATACTTAACTCTTCTACTGGTGGTAGGACCTCTTGTGAGTCCGCGCGGGTGGGTACCACCGCCCTGCCTATTTCTGCCGTGGAACAGTAATGCGTTTCGGTTTAAAGGGTGGGACAGTAGTTGTAACTATACTGAGACCTTACAACTTATATCTCAAGGTGGATGGTGCATTTACGATGTAGATGTCTATGGGCTCCAGTAACCACTTAACACCAGGTGGGCTGTGAGCTCGTCCACCTACCTAAGCAATAAAAAAAAAAACTTCACGAGACTTGTACTTAAATTACGTACGTGTTTCGTATAGTTCTAGAAGTATATGAAGAAGCCGAACATACCCGCCGAGCATAGTGAGGACGAGTTGGGTCGTCACTAGTATAATGTGAACCGAAAAACGCAAATAAAACATTCCTAGTGATTTTTTATATAAAACTGTGTAGGCTTAGGTTGGAAATAGACAACTTCGTCATTATTTCGCCGTGTCGCTTTTAATATATTATAATCTCATTTAATATTGTGTCACGTATTTTCGTTTATTTTTGTAAAGTTATAATAATTTATTATTAGAGTATCAATAATAAATTTCAGATCTTACAAACAAATTCGCCGTCTGGGTATTTAATTAGAACACAACGATATTTTATAAAACACAGTAGAGAATTCGACCTCATGCCTCAAGGTGGATTGCGGCATTCAAATTGTAATGTGCTCCCGTAATCACTTGATCGAATATGTCGTGAGCTTGATCACTTCATGGTCCCTCGTGCTATTGCTGCTACAAAACACTAGTTAACTTATTTCACAAACTTAGTTTATTTACACAACAACTACTTAAAAATATAAAACCCACCCAATTCAAAACTTAAATGCTGGTCAAATCTAATAAACAAAGCATTTTTTAAAACATTCGTATCGCGAATCGACTAGCCTAACGTGATTGCTCTGCGATTTTAAGGACAAGATACTCGTTATTTTAAATGCAACGGAAGACGCCATTTTGCAACGCGAACGCAGCTGGCATTTGCACCCCGCGTTCCCCTGAGACCATTGATACCGAATCAATCAATTGATTTTTGTGTTCTACATTGCGTGCTGTGCAAAAATACTAATAACAAAAAAAAGGGGTTTGTGTGTGTGCAATTCACACACGGTAGAAGTGAAACTTATAAATAAGATATAGATATACTGACTATCCCACTACACAGGAGCATACATATGGACAATGTTTAGTAGACGATAGTGGGGATGCTACGAAGAATCGCACAAAGAGGAGACCGAGAACTTCTAATGTGTTCTATCTCATTCTCTCGCCGGCTGAATCCTATACATTTATGTGTTTGTGTCTCTATGGACTTATTTTTTGATTTCATCGAGTTTGAAATCACAACGATTCTAAAGAAGTTTCACTACAATATAAGCTTTAGAATATGATATTTTAGTGCTGTCGGAAATTACTGTGTAATTACAATATCGTGACAGTGAATTTAGTATATAAATCAATAATTCCAGCAAAGCGAAGGGGAGTCAAACGAAGAAAACACGCCGGTGAGCGTGGCAGCCGCAGTAGCACAGCAGGCGGCGGCTGTTGCTGTGGCGCAGCAGACCGCAGCCGCCCACGCCGCGGCCGCCGCTGTCAATGCGGCTGTCGCAAACGCAAATGCATCCGTGGCCACATCACCAGAGAAGACTTTAGTGCCGATGTCACAAGCCTCGCAACCAAAGCGGCTACACGTCTCCAACATACCGTTCAGATTTAGAGATCCCGACCTCAGAAATATGTTTGGGGTACGTTTGTTTCCGATTGTAGCATGGCATGTTATTAGCTATAAATGTCGAAGCGCCAGTCGGCAACTAGATCTCAATATGTAACGTTTTATATTTCAGCAATATGGCACAATACTTGATGTAGAAATTATCTTCAACGAGCGCGGATCGAAGGTAAGCAATGGCTTATTTGGAACAGAATATGCCCGAAATGGCCATCTGAAATTCTGTACAAGAAAGAATTTCATCATGGCTATTTCTTGAGTCAAAATTTATAATAACGAAATGAGGTTTCAGAAACAATAACCAAATTCAATAAAATTATATGTTGAATGGTCATACTGACAATATTGTTGTAGTGTAAAATTCTATATTAGGCTTTAAAAATGTAATAATGTTTTAAAAGTGTTGGTTATTGTTTTTGATTGTTCCACATGAATGAGAAGAAGATAAATAAAGTCACAAGCATTATAACTACTAGTAAACAGTTTTACGCATTTCGTTATGGTACTCTGAGCGCCCCTCTAATTTTGGGAAATATTCTTCTCATTCGTGTCCATAAAAAGGTCTTTGTCGCTGTTTCATAATTTACTTCATTCTGTATGAAAACAGTAGCGTCAAAGATCTTAAGAAATTCCTGTAATTGCTGCCCAAACTGTTAGATTGTTTACAAGTAAAAGTCATTCCCTTGCGTTATTTAATGAATTAAAATAATTTTAATAATTTCAATGTGAACTGTGACCTACAAGTAAAAAAAATTTGTTAAATATCTACTTACGAAATGATTTAGATAATACATATTTATAATTGATCCTTTTAAGTTGCAGTCACATTAAAAGAACATTAAATTTCTTTGATGAATAATTTGTTAATCTTCGCTTAACAAATTCTAAAGGCAAATGGGCTTAGTAAAATTAATAATCAATAATTTTGTTTAAAAAACCTTCTTTTCATAGCATATTCTGGTTTTAATGTTTGGTGCAGTATATCTAATAGCATTGTATATTATCATTGAATAATAAATAATATTGTCTATTTTATACTTTAAACTTATTACTTATGACATACTTCAGTCGTCGTTGTCGGTAGTTTTTTTTTTATATGAAAACGAAAACCGAATCCGCAAACCGAAGTAAGTCATGGGTGAGAATGATATAATATGCTGTATTAATGAAACATTTTATGATACTCAAAAAACAACTCTCACTGTAAATGCTAAACGTGAAATGTTGAGACAATGAAGATATTTTTTACAATTGATTGGATTGAACGCTTTTTCGTGTTTACGCTTTCCTTGTGTCAGTTTGGTGACCGCCCCCTAAAGTAGTCCATGCTCGCTCATGTCAAGAAGTATTTTACTCTTTTCAATTAATAGCTCCAAGTTATTTTTTTCTTGAACGCCTCACATTGGGATATGCAGTATTAGAGAATGATGCATCGTCACTATAACAGCTGATTTCCTAAGTCATGTTGCCGGGACAGCTCTATTATTCATCACTAATAAATATTTTATCGTCCAAACTATTCCCATCCTTACTTCTTGTTAACTGTCGCACTAGCAGCTACCGCTACTGCCCCTATAGTTGTGTGCATTCACATGACCGAGCTGCGTCTCAATAATACTCACATTACGATGAGCGTATTAACTAGTAGTAGTAGTAGTAGTACAGGTCTACAAATATGTGTATAGTTTGGGCGATCAGTCAAACGAGATATTAAAATGTATTAGATTTTCTTCTTTTTGTCTTTCACTTTGTTCTTATTAATAAACAACTCAACCATATATGCTTTTCTAACAAGGGGACATTATTTTTACTAGTTTTGGGCATGTAAATTCCGCTGATCCCTGAATACGATGTTATAGCCGTAAAGTGTAAACTATTGTTTGTAGTAACTAAGGTGCATCATTTAGTTGAGCTTTGTATTGTATAGCACTTGTCTTCTTGTCTTCGGGTCAAAATCTGCGTCTCCCAAATTGAACGGATTCGTTGCACTGCGGGCGCCATTGACCTCGTGACTAGCGGACGATCCGCAGCCTTATTGCTAAAACAAATAAGACTCTTTCTCTCTGCCCAGCTCATAGTTTACAAATACTTGCACCCAGAATGGTAATAATAGAGCTGTCATTGCTTTTATAAGTGTATAAGCGTTCCGTAAGGTCAGCAAAATGTTTGCCACTTTTCACAACTCGTCTCTTCCACTGTATTGTGTGCTGTGCTAGCTGCTTTTTGTATCTATGGGTTATCACCACTTATTGACAGTAGCGTCCTTTGTCTTAAGCACGTGTATTTTAATTGAGATTTTGATGAGACATCTTGCTCTGTGTTTTGTATGCTATAGTTAATAACATTCGAATCAGTATTTGGGTTAACCAAAGAATAACCGAAAGAAGACAATATAGACGTGTCACAATTTGGCCACTGTATAAGTAAACGCACTTTAAAGCTACCAACGGTGACCGGTAGCTATGACGAGCTTTGTTTATGTGCGCGCGTAAGTTATATTATGTGATTTGTTGAATGTTATACTATTAGTTCGGTGGCCCTTAACATTATATTGTATAGAATTCGTATTCGTAGATTTTTTACGGCCGTCGGTTACAACCTTTTAATTTGTGAAGCGGTCGGCCATAATTTATTAGTTTCGATTAGAAATAGATTTTGCATGATCGGTGAACATTACGTGTATAGATCAATTTGCAGCTAACATTTCACACAATAAGTTATTTGGTGAAATCAAAAGAAAAATCAGCATCTTCGAAATCGTTTAAAGATCAATTCCCAGTCTTATATTTAGGCATTAATATATACATATATATATCTTTAGTTAATTTGTAACAGTAGGTCGGACAGTAATTCTATTGTGTATTTTAATTCCGAAAGCTTATTATGTGTACCCATTCGCTAGAATTACGCTCAAAGTATCAACGTACTCAATGAATCAATTATGTAATATCCTCTCGATATTTCAATAGATATTTTTTTCTTTATTTATTTAAATTAAAAAAAAAAATATTAATTATGCAATGCATAAATGTTAATTTTTGTTGCACGTTGTTTTTTGAGCGACGCTGTTTTTAATGCATGTTTTGTCTGTCTTGCATGCAGGGATTCGGTTTTGTAACATTCGCAAATAGTGGTGATGCGGAGCGAGCACGAGAGCGTCTTCACGGCACCGTGGTTGAGGGCAGAAAGATAGAGGTGTGCATGACTCAATGAATANTATTAATTATGCAATGCATAAATGTTAATTTTTGTTGCACGTTGTTTTTTGAGCGACGCTGTTTTTAATGCATGTTTTGTCTGTCTTGCATGCAGGGATTCGGTTTTGTAACATTCGCAAATAGTGGTGATGCGGAGCGAGCACGAGAGCGTCTTCACGGCACCGTGGTTGAGGGCAGAAAGATAGAGGTGTGCATGACTCAATGAATACCATCCGTAGCACTATGTAACTTATAACATCCCGCTCCTACGCCCCGCGCCCCGCGCCCACCGCCCACCGCCCTCCGCAACCTGCGCTCGTCTGCTCTGTAGTTACTGTCATGCTAGCGGGCGCGCTCGACCCCGCACTATTAGCACTAAGTACGCCGACCTTTAATCCACAAACAAACCTTATTTATTTTATCCCTTTACTCTCTAGACGGTCATTTATAATGCCGATCGATTCAGAGAGTCTCACAGGGAAATGTAGAACGAAACGTATCGTCACAGGCACTGACAGTGCAGAGGTAAGATTGCAATAACAAATATAGTTCCATTCTACCTTTAGTCAATTTTGACGAAATCGAATACTGCGCGTACCCGGCGGGGTACGGTACAGCGGGACCAATTCCGGTGTAGTATTCCTTTTTTTTAATAATATTAAATGTTTTTGGTACCTAACCAATATTCGGCAGAGTGGATAATCAAATTATGGGTTCGATTCCCGTAGCGTATGGATTATTATAAGGTGCGGATGTGAGATTATGTGAAACAAAAACACCTATTAATGTTAATTTAATAGGGAAATCTCAACGATATGGTTGGTGGACGTTAGGACATTGTGATCCGATACGAGTTAGAACTTGATAAAATTTATTTTTCATATTAATAACGCTTCAGTTTTGGAGCGTAATGGAAGTGGAATCATTAAATATTTCTATTCATGGTAATTGTTACAAGTCAAAAGCAATCGAAGTCAAAACTAAGCAGAAGAATTTAGTTCGATAGAAATTCTTTAGTGCACATCTGTAATGAAGTCCTCGTAAATTGGGGATAGTTAGACTGGTGCCCTAAAGTTGATTAGACCTCATTGTGACCTGACATTTTCTGAAAATAGGTCAATAACGCGACAGCGCGGGTACAAACGAAGAAACCGCCAACCGTTCCAAACGGTAAGTTGTTTTGTTCTATTGGTCCGACTCCCATTCCACTCGCTCGAGATGCTCGAAAGTCGAACACCGATATGTCGATTTGTACAAAATAACCTCCTTCAAGAGACACTCGCAGACTTGTAGGCATATAGTTGACACACTAAAACTTAGTCCTAAATGTAGCATTTAATAACAAAATCTCATTTAATTAGAATAATTTTCAAATAAAACGGAACCTTGATGAATGTGATTTTTGAGTTGTTTTTTTTTTCTCTCTTTTTTTAAACCATCCAGTAATACTGGCTAGGAACGGATCAGTGCCCACTTTGGGTGAGAGCTGTTACAAAGATCGATGTTGTCCATATTGAAATGTGAATATTAGCTACATGTGGCTTCACCTTCGTGTGTCTGAATGCAACTAGGTGAATGTTGTTTAGTGAATGATAACGTCGACGACCGGAGACGGCCCCTCACCCACATTGACATGAATGAATGAATGAACCCATATTGAATACATACAGACAAAATCCTGTATTAATAATGTATTTTGTGTCTTTAGAAACACAACCTCGAACATTGGGCCGTCTCCGGGCATCAATGATTGCCTGTTACATACATACATAGGTGGAATTTAAAATGCGTTTGATTCTATGATCAGTGATTAGAAAGCTTGCTAGTTTTAAATTAGGTGAACATAATTTAATATATTATATATTGGTCTGTCTTTATTCTGTCTTGAGTATAGCTGGAACTTATGCAACCTCGGTCTTGCACTGCTCGTGTTTCGATTCCGTAGTACCAGAATGTAGCTAGGTAAAATTGATTTATAGTTCAACGAATATGTAGAAGATGTAATTTTTCATTTTTGTATTATTTGAACGTGAACTTGTTTATTTTGTTTCAGTGTGTGTGCAGTGGCCCGAAGGTGAGACCTCGCCATTTGGTAATTAAATGTTTTATTTTGTGTATTCAGAATATTTACTATTTGACAGTTTCGAAAACAATAATTAGATCATTAAATTCATTGATGTGGTGGGATCATGCATTCGTTTAGATTCATCGCTCTATCAGAGTTGTGTTATTGAGCATTCGTAGTTTATTTAAATGTCAGCAAGAACCTGTCCCGTATTTATCCCGTTCCCGTATTATTAGCTGCCGTCTGGTGTAGTGGTAAGTGACATGGTCACTACACAAGGGGGTCGCGGGTTCGAATCCCGCCAAGGGAAGATATTTGTATGATAAATATAAATGTCTTTTCCAGGGTTATGGATGTATATTAAATATGAAATATATGTGTGTATAATAAAAATCTTACATTTATATCCGTTATCTGGTACTTTTAACACAAGCTCTTTACGAACTTATCACGGGACCAGTTAACATGGCGTGATTGTTAGTAAATATTTATTTATTGTGTACCTACCTGCCTGAGAGTCGAAATTCCGAAACCCATTTATATAACGTATTTCGCGTCGTAAAGAGCGAGCTCCGGGTCTCTGGGAGTAGAATGCCTGTGCCGGCGCTGAGAAGGTACGGTAGGTGAGGTGGTGAGTGTGTGCGCAGGGCTGCGGGTGTCGGGCGTGACGTGGCCGTGGCTGAGCGCCGCGCCCGCCGCCGCGCCCGCGCCCCCGCTCGTGCTGACGCCGCGCGCCGCCCAGCGCCGCAGGTAACCGTGTCGAGCTCGCATGTCAGTAGTGGCCGTGTGTTGCATGCAGTGTCCGGCGCCGGCTCGCTGCGAGGTGCGGCCGTGCTGCGCGCCCGCTCCCCGCGCCCCGCACCGCACACCCTCCCGCACGCACAGCACGCCTTGTTGCCCCGCGCCGCCGCCTACGCACATCACTTGCACGCCTACGCACCGTGAGTACCCGCGCACCGCACTCCGCCCACCCCCCCGCATATCCATCCCATTCACGAACGAATAAACCGACTGTAATTAAATCAATAATAAAGTAACACAATTTCACATGTAAATAGTATCCATTGATACTTTAGAATAACAAAGTGATTGTGCGTCCGTTTTAAAAAAAAAACATCATAAAGTTATTGGACAGTGTATTTTTATTTAGGCCACAAAATGCGTATGTGCTATAATTTGGTTTTTGTCGGATAATTTTTCAGCAGCGATTGTACTAAAAAAAATACATTATTTTCACTGATATTGAAAACTGCTAACGTATGAAAAAAACATTTTCAATTGTTTTTTTTTTAATTCTATTTTTAAATTTTAATAAAAATAACACTAATTTCTCCTAAAAAACGTCTAAATGTGTTTAATTTGAATGATGTCCAGAAACAATAAATTGTAATTTAAAGTGAGGATTGTCCACTCAAAATGAGCTTTGACATCAACAGGGGTCCAGTACTCCCGCCCGGCCCTTTATTCCACTGATCCAATACCTCCCGAATCCCTATCACTCCACTCCGGTATGATTTCTTCTGTGCTGTAAAAAAACATTAACAATTGTACAGTATGTTGTGTAGTGCTCACATGTAACTAATTTCCTTACAATAAACTAGTAATTGCTTTGCAAAAGTAAACTTGCTGTAGGTAGTATTAATACATTTGTATTTTTAGCTCTGTGGTTTAATAATAAATGAGTTTTTTTTTCACCTGCTCGCTGACCGAAAACCTTTGTTGATTTGCAATAGTGTTTTGTACAAACCAATTATTTTATTTTTGTTAGCGTAAAATTTATATAATGCAGTATTTAATAATATGTTAGGAAAATGTTACATATGTAAAATTAAATGTAAACTACTATTATCCATAGATATAAAGTTCGCTACTGTCCAACATTTATCTAGTAAATTGTATAGAAGAAAAAAAACTTGCCAATTTTAATACGTCTATGTTACTCACTTTACTTTGCAGTGTTTATTACGACCCGTTCCTAGCCGCAGCCGCTACAGCTGACTCCAACTACAGACTACAGGTACTGTATACTGTTTCTATATGTCTATAGAGAATATTCTTCTCTTTCTTCTTTCATTTATCATACCATGTAAGGCTCACGATGTGTCCATATTAAAGTTTGATTTAGCCTACAGTCTAACGAACTGATAACCTAATTGGGAAGAGTAGGGCTCTGATTAGATTAGTGGGGGGGCTTAGATGAAAAAAAAATGTGTGTCAGCTTGTTTGCGCGACTGGAGTTTACTCATTAGATGCGATGTCATTGAATATACAATAAGCTAAAGGGGATAATTTGCGCTACCTGAGTTTATAACAATTAAACCAAATGATTCCAAATTTAATATATGTTAATTATTCATGTAATATACATCACTGGTAAATGATACATAGAAATATGTTAATGTAGACAATTTACTAAACTGACATTAGATTAGGGCGTGATAATTGGTGACAATTCACTTTGAAGTTTAAGTGCTATTTTATAAATTCAATTATTCTATTTGAATGTAATGTTGTCTGTTAACACTCAATTAGACGAACGAACAATTTTTCGTAAATAGGACTCGAAATGAAATTCGATTCTTGAGGAAGGTAAACACCAGAAATGACATTATAGCTACTATAGACGGATGATAGGAGGGTAACATAGTTCTTCGAGAATCTCGAGTCCTAAGTACCTTCTGATATCCAGCTTAATAGTACTTTTTTTGTGTGATTTACATAATCATCAAGGATATTATTATTGTTATTATTATTATTTTTCGCAAATATGTTGGCATAACATTTATATGGCTGTGGTGACATTGCATATGTTGTTACAGGCCGCGAAGCCGGCAGCCGAGGTAAACCGACACGCATTTAGACTTTAAAAATCTTTATGCGATTTTATCTGTATCTCTATCGCTTCCTGGTTCATGTTCCACCGCGCTAAAACGTATTATAAAATTTTTGTATTCGTCGTGGAGTGATTTGGGATTTTGTTTGCTCCTTTATATTATTCGTATCGAAGTATTTGATATTGATTGGTAATCCACAGTAATGCGGGGTGCACATTGTTTGTTGTGGTAACCGATTTGAAGTCGCACGAGCGCGGCCGCGGCTCGGTCGCGCGGTTTGCTTACTGTTTCTTTTCATTGTTGACCGTTGGTATTGTGGTGGGTGATTTAGTTTTAGGCTAACGCTGATGCTGCGACACGAACAGAACGCTAATCGTATCATGCCCCGAGTAGTGTGAACATTGAGCCCACAAATTGTAAACTTCATTACCAATCATACTAACGATCTTATATTAAAGTAGATTAGATAAAAAAAGTATTTTTTTTATATATTTTATTTTATTCATTCACTACTATAGTTTCGCCTTTAGTTCGTGTATTTGTTTTATCACTGCATGCTCATATTAACTTGTCGTAGTTAGGCGCAATCCGATAGTGTTTATAAATTCGATATTGTGCCGAGAAATGTACCACGAATCTGTACGTAAAATAGATAGAGAAACGCAGCATGTCGTACGTACGTTTTTCTTGTAAATAAAATGTGGTAATTTTTATTGTTTTTGACATATTATCATAGTGCGTTTAAATCATTTATCTTCTGCATCGTTTTCGCTTTCTATTCTGGCCTCATAGGGTGATACGAAGTTCAGAAGAATGAAGACGACATCAATCGCTCCGGTTCATCAAATCGATCTGACATCCGATAGGTTTGTGGGCTCACTGTTCGACCGAGACGTCCGCTCGATCGTTAACAGTGCTAGGGTTCGGTGAGATTGGGAATTATCTAATGCCTGTGCTCGTCGTTATGGATATTGGATATTGCAGTAGATCCAGTTGAATTATCTTTTTCAATCAGATTCGTAAAAGCCAATGAACCGGAACGATATATTGGACACTCTGGGAAAAGCACCTTAAATAGATCCTTTCATGCTTATTATACTCATCCGATCCAAATCCGAAGAAAGTTTTAAAACGTGATATTTTCACGAATTGGTTTATTCAAATATAAGAACAGTAATTAATGAAGTTGGACGACGACAGGCCGCAGCAGCCGCGGCGGCGGCAGCGAGCCCCCTGCTGAAGTCTCCGCTGACGTCGGCGCAGCACTCGGCGCTGGCGGCGGCCGCGGCGGCGAACTACGGGGCCGCCGCGCGCGCCGCCGCCGCCGTCTCCGCCGCGCCCGCGCCCACCGCCCTCGCGCCCGTGCCCGCCACGTCTGTACCGCTCTTACTATACTCTATAACACTACTCTATCTATATATCCTCAACATTATTACGTCCGCTGTATCGATTATGCCTATAATAATCCGGGTATAAATATAAATATATATACATATATTCAAATACTTTTATAAGGAATTTCCACTTAAACAAAGTGATTCTGTAGATTATGCCACATATTTTTAAATTTAGGTATTATTAGATTTAAGTTTATAGACTAAGATTACAGGCAGCGGCAAAATAACAGCGATAGTTTCAGCTATCACAAAGCTGAGCCGCGGCCTTTTTATCTCCACTGTGCTGGTATAATATATTGCAATATTGCTTAGAATTAGTATTTTTATGTCATATTAATTGAAAATTTATTTGTATCTGTATTGTGGAGTAAATAAGTGCAATTATTATTATTATTATATATAACAATTGCAGGTATAAATAAAATACGTACCTAACACGTAATCACGAACAACCCACACGATTAGGAAACATCTTGCAATTAAAAAAATCGAACTTCTTTTCATTCGATTATCAGGCCAGGTAAGTAGAATTTATTGTAGACTTACACAGGTTCAGTCAATTTCAAACAAATTAAACGTTCGTTTTAAATTATATTATAGTAGTTTTTTTACTATACAATATTGTCATAACTCATTTCTCAAGATTAATTTAGAGTTATTGAAGGTGTCTATAAAAACTCCACTAATCACTAACTAAGCATGTCAAAAACTCTTCTGTCGTCAAAAAGGAAAGCTAAAAAATTTTTTCGGGTGCCGGTTTTCCTTGAATTTTGTGCATTACCACTATTTGCTGGTAACACATTTGTTCCTGAATCGGCGAGGCACGCATACTCTTGAATTCTTGGGATTTCGATCGATCTGTTCTTATTATATTTGGGAGCTAAAAGCGAACGAACTCTCAGTTTATTATGCTCTTGCTGGACGTCTGCGTTGTCGCTTCTCACAATTTGGAAATTGTCCAACACCGGAAGACAAAAATACTATATACTCGACCGAATAAATAATGTAACGAAACTATTGAATAATGAACTGATGTCGTATTATGAGAATTATAACTATAACAAACTAGCGACCCGCCCTCGCTTCGCTTCGTGAACTGTAATTTTTTATTGATCTTATTGAATATTCTTTTAAGCAAGTCTGGTCCTGATAGTAACATAACAAACACAATAAAAAAAGAATGTACTTAACATACAAAAAATCTAATCTTTCCTCTTCTTATATTAATCGTTCACTATTTTGGCGATAATAGCTTACAAATAAAAGTAAGATATATGCTATCAAGGGATTTTTTGTAGGACTATTTGAGATAAACGTTTTCATTTAACATTATATACATACGTGTAACTCCAACAGTTTGCAGCGCACGCAAATTTATCGCAAATGGCAGATTTTTTCCATCTTACTTGACTCTTATCGTTTATATTTTGTGTAATCCACACTATATTTTTATAATTTATAGCCTTTTTTTATTCTGATGTTGTAAGCTTAGTGTCATATGTATTTATATCGAATCCACAGCCTAAATAATAAGTTTCAAGCTTTTAGCTTTAAAAATGACGATACTTCCATACAAATTTTCAATCCTTTTATACAATTTTTCCGCATTAAAAGTCTCATCCTTTCTCAGGTTCTAGACTATCTGTGTATCAAATTTCATTTAAATCGGTTCAATAATTTTGGGGTAAAAGCGCGTCAGACAGAGAGACAGATAGTCACTTTCGTATTTATAATATTATTAATAAATATTAAATAATAAATAGCAATAGTAAAGTAAATCGGCTAATATAGTTTAGAGTTACAAGCGTTGAAATTTCTAATGAGGATTGGAATCCGATACTCTGTCCCCTTTCCCGTAACGTGAGTTTTAATTTCCTTAAAAAACTTAAAATTCCTTCATTTTTTAACAGATTTTAGTATCGTTTAAATGTTGTTTTGGTGAACTTTATAACAATAATGATCATAATTTCAGGTACGGCAGAGAATATGGAGATCCTTACCTAGGACACAGTATAGGACCGGTTACTGGCTATGGGGTAAGCTGAATATTCAGAAGTACAAGAGTCGTTAGTTTTCGAAAGTTGACCAATAAAAACCTTGTGTAATTTACCGATTCTACTATGAATAGCCTTTGTAGTTTTTTATTTCCTTAAATAGCATAATATTTAAAGCGATATTATTGTTTGTCTAAATTCAGAAGATATTTTTTTTAACTGAAATTCAATGTAGCTTTCACGTTTTCAATACATCAGCATTAAATCGAAGTGCTGTCGAATCCTTTGCATATTGCGTCCTGATGCGTTACGTAATGATCGAGCTCTATGAACACAGTTATTTTTTTAATAAAACTCAAAAAATGACGTGCAATGATTCAAGCGTAAGCAGTTATTTTGAACACCGATCATGTACAGAACGATTTGAAAAAGAAAAAAAAAACGTGTATATTAGTTTTCTTTTGGTGTCAAAGTCTAAGACTTTGCGCATTTTAACTTTGCAAATTTATTTAAAAGTCTAAATCGTATTTACAGGCTGCAGTATACAGGAGTGGATACAACAGATTCGCACCGTACTAAGCCAGTGGATGAAACGATTCAACTCGAATATGAAAAAAAACTCCGTCACCGTTACATGACAATGAACTCTCTCGTAAACGTACAAATATGTAATTCTTAAACGTAAGGAAGAAGGAAACTTAGAATATAGAAAACAGCGAAGCGGTAGTACGAAGAAGAAGATCTCCGTCGCGATCCTGCTGGCGTCTGAGAACGTTACCTGCGAGACGATCCGTCTCCGGGGACTAGTATACCAAAGCCGTTAACAAAAAAAATGTCTAACGCATAACTTATTAAGTTTAATAATCCATTGTAAATTTATACGTGTACCTAATTCGATACAAGTGCGGGCAGCTGAAACGCTTTCCTTCTGTAGCGAGAGCGCCGCGAAACGTACTCCTATTAACTATATATGAGGCCGTCAGCGCAGAAGTGGCCTAAGCTTACCAAGTATGGAGGCAATTAGTTTTGAATTTTCATGAATTTGAATTTCGAGTAGGCAAAAAAATAATGTTTACGAAACTATCTGTTATTTATGGGGTGAAACTATGGATAGGCCGGTTTTGCATTAAAATTTATTATATTTTAAATAAATTCCAATATATGTCATATAAGCTTGAATATAAAAAATTGTGGGTTAGGCCACTTTTGCGCTGATTTCCTCGTATATGATTGACTACAGTGCGGCTTTAGATGCAAAACGAACTTTGTTAAGAACGCACATAGCATTATAATATTGTTGTCTCGTGTAGTTGTTACATTATGGTAATGACAATAGTTAAACGATGTAAAGATATTTAGAGAGCTTTGCACTTGCATATCACGTTGTAATGGAGTTTGTAAATACCTCACAATTTACATTAATACTCACCGTGACTGCGGTCGCGTTTTTGCAATGCAAAAATATAAAGTTGATTCTACGAATGTTTTATATATATATATAATCTTTCCCAAACCAATATATATTATGTAAATTATCTAGTAAAATATACAATATTGTTCTTGATTACTCGATGAGATAATTTCAGATTTTATCAGTTTTTTTTTCTTCATTTATATTAAATTTCTTTATGAATTATCCTTTTGGTCTCCTATTGTACTTTAGGGGTAAAATGTTATCTAGTAATCAAAGTATGTAAACAATAGTTAGAATAATTTATTATTCCTACGTATGTATGTTACGTACATGGTCATTGATTCAGCATAAAATTTCAAGCTTTTTCTATGCACCCGTTTAAATAATAAAATAAAATACTCAGAATGTTGAGTGGTGCAATTTTAACAGGTGCCGTCTCTATTGTCGCCATTGTTCTCATATACTTATATTAATTACACTAGAAACACATTTGGTTGCTAGCTAATTTTTGTAGTAGTATCGTATAAATTATTTAAAGTTTAGTTGCACTGTGTAATCTTGCATCTCATAATGAAACTCTTAAACTCGTAACTACTAAGAAATATTATATTGTATATTGAACTCTTATACGGAAATAGGGTAAACAATACTGTTATTGGCACCAGTAATACACATTCTCTTAAAATTTCAGAAAATAAACGATTTTTCCGTTTATTGGTAAGTCTATTTTACTATAGTAAGTGGCCATATTAAGCTTTTTGTAAAATTATTAAATCGTTCACATCTGCCTTAAAAATTGTGTGGATGTGATGGTGATAATAGAAATAGAAGGACCAATTTGAAAAAAAAAAAAGATTTTTTTTGTATAGGCTTATGAAACTGAAAAGAGCAGTTGACTAATTAATTATCTTTGTTTCTCAATTATTACATCGGATTAAAAATAATTAAATGTTTTCATAAAACAAAGCTTCCGTGCCAGTGGGCGTAACAGAATGCCAGTGCCAATCATTGTATAGTTTACCCTAGCCCTGTTTTTGTAAATGACGTGTAAAATTGCTTTTCGATTAACAGATTAGAAATGAGAAGTTATAACGCAGTACATTTGTTACGAACTGTAGGTTGCTAGATAATATCTAATGTTTACTTGATACGTAGGCGTAATGCTTTTAGCTTTAGCGGAATTAGGAATGAAGCGAACTCCGTCGAGTTCTCACATATCATTGAGATTTTCTCCTTGTAATTTTTTTAATTCATTTTATAATGTAATTTTTAAACATTTTTTTTTTTAATCCGAACCGTGTCGTTATTTAAATAATTGAATCTGAACGTAATGTATTTTCGTTTTATTGAACAAGCACGCATACGGGTCCAACCCTTTTAGGTGTCGTAAATTTTAGATCGTACATTTTCATTAGGATGTAAATTTTATTATATAGCGTGTACGGATTCGCTCAACGTTTTATACCAAAGCACAAAAACCCAACGATTCTCGCGTGATCGGAAAATTATTCAAGTCACCAACTAACTTCTCTATATAGATTAAATAGTCTTTCATTCGGAAAAACTTACATAATCTATTTTAACAAAACGTATTTTAATAATTTTCATTAAAATTAGTAGAATATTCTCTACGGACATATCTGATTGCCATCTAGATTAGTGTTTATATCATGACGTGCGTAGTTCGAAGATATGATTAAATAGATCTGAAACGGTTTCTGCGCTGCGCCGTGCGATATAATCAAACGAAAATAATAATTATTAAGTCGTGCTGCTTCGTTGTTTTTATGGTGGTTTAGATAGTTTTTTTTTTTTTTTTTTAATAAACCTTTTTACGCCACGGCAGTTCGAACGTGCTGCCAGCGAAATTTTTGAAATAAAATTTAAGATCACGTTAATTACACTCGTTGATCATACACAATGATTTACGTATGAACTCTATAGACGTCTGTCATTGTCTAATAAAATATAAAAAAAATATAGCAATTTTTTAGGTGCCGTGGCGTGCTAAAGGCTGAGTTTTATTGAGCATACGCTGACGTCGGGTACGCGTGACCCTGCGGTGTGTAGCAACTCCATGACACGTTCTAGTCTCTCAGCGCACAATTATATGTTACGTGAACCACACGAAGGTGCTTACAGTTATCTCTTTTTTTTTTTGTACAATAACTGTCGTGAACATCCGCCTCTCCGAGTCCGACGGTCCTCTCTGCGGGTTCCGTCTCGAACTGTTCGTGTCATATATATATATTTTTTTTTTTTAATTACTCGTGTACAAGAACGCACTCACCTCCTTAGTGCCACTGGCTTTACGTTTGTAAGTTACAATCGATAATTTTATTAGGTAATTATTATTATTATTTTTTATGTAATTGTAGTCTCGTTGCAGCTTCGAACAAAATATGTGCTTTACTGCGGAATACTCACGCGTGGTCGCGTTATTTTTTTTAAACATTAGTTTTTAGTTACTTCGTATATTGTTTTATAGCGGTCTTTTAGCCGAGTACAGATATAAGTACACGTGATTTGTATTCGATGATTTTATTTTCGTTTAGTTTTTAATTATTAATTAGTGATCGTATTGAAATCGGAAACGGAAGTCACAAAAATTTTTTTATTGTGATCGTTGCGGCAATAAACGATACGCGCCTTGGTTTTTTTTTTTAAATTGAATTAGAATTTAAATGTCAATCAAATTAGTGTAAAAATAAATCAGACGGTTACGAATTACATTGAAACATTCAGAAGTCGTGTTTGTTTATTGTTGCCCTAAAGCTATTGAATATTTTTATATATAATTTAAATGACAATGCGGATAAATCATAAATGCAGGTCGATCATTGTGTTTAGAAGGAAGAGATCATAATGTAAGCCAAATTAATTGTTACATGGGGAAAAATCAGAATTTAACTGACATATCTGACAAAATGGTTAGTGTGATATGAGGATAAAGCATCAGATACAATGTATTATAGTTATATTAATAATCGATAAAATTAAGGATGTAATATGTATTTTGTAACGCGATATGTTTCTCGATTTTTAGGAAATGTTAAAATTTTCATACTAAATATTGTCTAGTTGTTTTATGCTGTGCACAAATTAGACGGCTTCGATTCTAATATAATATTAGATGTAACAAACGTTGTTGTTATGTGCATAATGAATCATATCAATTAGATATCACCCCCCCCCTTTTACCTACATCTTAGTATTGTTGGTGATGGACCACTCCCGGCCCGGATGTTGTATTCTCTCATTCGTATTGTTGAATTTGTGCAGTAAATTAAGTAACACTTGTTCGTCAATTGCACTCGATCCGTTGCGTTGGTAAATAAATAGCAAATCGCGATTTTTAATTTTACATTTTTGTTTTTGAACTTCGATCACACAGTTGATTTTTCAAATCGTAGCTCAGCTAACAATAGCGCGCAAATCCTTTATTTTTTCGAACAGCGCTGATAAAATACAGAATATCTTTGCATAAGGACTCTGTCAGGTATAGTAGCGCGTCTGTAGCAAATGACCATCCAAGGAGGACAAACATCACAAAAGTCCTTAGGAGATTTTCAGTTGTATTTTAGTCTCCGTTAAAAATTAAACACTTTTTTTTTCTTGCGCGATGCTGTCAGTTTTGCGACGAAATGTCATTCATGTGTCACATGTGTGAAGCGATTTACGCGAATATAAACCTTACGCGTACGAATAAAATATATGAAAACAAAAAAATATTTAAATTTAACTATGAACCGATCTATTTTAACCTTTAAATTCGCCATTTTGCAAATAATAAAAAAATGTGCGCGCATTATGTCAGGGTACCTTCCGTATTTTCCTCATAGAACAGAGCAAAAGGTCCCAAATATTGAGCTTAATCAAATTAGTAACAAAATTATTGAAAAACTTTCGGTAGTTTTTGCATGGTTTTAAAAAAAAATTAAATTTGTTTCGAATCGATTGATTTAGGGTTAACCTAATAACAATTTCGTTTGTTCCAAATTCAATGTCTACTTCTGTTACAGTTTTTTTCAATAAAATCTCATTCGACCAGTATTTTCTAATTAACTATTCTAGTCTGATAGATGTGACAATAAAGACACCGCTCTCTATCGCTTCGTGTGCCGTGAACACATTTGCACATAGAACAATAAAAATAAAAAAAATGCGAATTTAAAGGTTATTAGAACGCAATTGCGGTCCGCGCGACCGGAACGACTCACCAGTATTCACAATAGATACCGTGCTCAAACCGTATCTGTAAATTGTAAGAGTTACTTATATATAACAAGTTTTAAAAGTTAAAATATAAATTGTTACATGATGAATGTCTTCCGTTTGGCACATTATACACATTTTCGCACATTATATTGTTGCACGGACCCGTTTGGACCCTTGATGTGTGAATGGAAAACTAAAGTATTCGGGTCCTAGTGCACAGTGTGTTTCCGAACGATTTGTGATTCTAATGTAAACATACGAAAGATGATTTTTTTTGTGTAGCAATTTAAAAATGAATTGCAGTGTTGATTTCATCTTTTAATGTAAATATTTTTTTTTATTGGAAAATGAATTGAAGTGAATCATTGAAGCCTCTGGCATTGTGTACTCATTTATGTTATAAATAAATTAATGGTATGCATTTACGTTGTTTTAATTTTTTTAATTCGACATCAATACTCGAAAAGGAATATACTAATTTAGTGCCTATAAATATTTAGCAGTTTTGCTTCAAAGCGTTACGGTGCTATGTGTCATGCTCTACGCCAAAGACGGATTAAAATGTTATTTTCATAAATTGTAGTGATTGGATGACGGTGATAAATATTGTTTTGTACTGATAAGATAACAAGGCCTTTGAAACTTGCACCGTATAAGGGACTTAATCGCATTTAATGTGAAATAATTAAAACAATCGGAATTGTGAGATAATCTTGCGAAGCGATAAAGGCTGCTGTATCGCGACCGGGCAGTCTAGCAACGCGGCGCGAGCGCACATCACCGTCTGTATACAATATTTCAAGTTTCTTTTTTTTTGTAATGTTTATTGTTCTATTAAAATAAAATACAAAATGGTGATATGTCCCCCGTTTAAGTGGTCTTCTAAGGGTGGTTTTAATTTAAGTAATATTTCGAACGGCGTTGACAAGAAGACGCGCCGTGAAACCATTATCGTGAGTAAATAATATTGTTCAAAGTTCTTTCAGTGCTACATGTGAAATACTCATACTATTTCGAATAAACAATTAGTGATGCTTTCGCGGTAATTTTTTTATTTACGTTATCAATTCTAAGTTTACGCTAAGTATTTTCTCTAATTCAAACAACATACAGAACCCAACAATGACTACAACTCGCATAGACCTGTGAAAGTATTAAATAGGTACTAATTTTGTTCATAAAAAAATTCACAATACAGTTTATTGTTTCCGTTATGCAGACATTTTTGATTGATTATTGCGATCCGGGTCGTGAGTTTTCTAAGTGTAACAATCTTCGAATCCTCCCAGCGGGCATTTCGCACGATCCTCATATTTTGTATCTTATATATGGGCACACACACTTCTTTGAATATGATAGTAGGTATTCATAGAATAAATACTGCTATCGCCTGTTTTTTTGCTGCGTATTCGCTAGGGGCTATTAGCTATGCGCGGTCGGGTACGTGAGCTCACGTACCCGACAGGTCGAATGACCTGAAAGAATTTGCTTACACTAACACTAGTAAGAGCAGTGCTTCGCAGAATCTACCAACGAATCGGAAACGCAAGCCAATGAGAAGATCCGACGAGAAACTCGGTGGGCTGTATCAATGGACTACTTTGAATACGACGAAGAGTTCGACGAGGGCGGTGACCGGTGCATGAAGAGCCTAAAAGCACCGAAAATGGATCCAGGGGATCCGACAGGAGAATCGCCTCTTGTTCAAAATTGACGATGTGACTAAACCAGTGTTCGAATCTCACAGATAAACACTAATGTTTCTAAAAAAATACGTAGGTACCTAACTCATGTCCACGGATGAATTGCAAGATCAGCGAATGACATTGTATAATTATTGTCGCTGTAAAGCATACATCCGTCTCAGTTTCGATTTTCAAGAGTGAAAGAGCTGTTTTTCGGAAGCAGTTGAAAGCGAACCCCATATTTTAGTGAACGTTATTGTGTTATGAGATTCGGCTGACTGCTTGGCATTGAAGTTCGTATCTTAGCTTAAGTCGTCGGTGAGTTTTCTATGATGACCTGGAGCTTGACTCAGTCACTAAGCATTTACAGTCAGCATCATTGCGCCACTTTGGGAAGGCGGCACGACATGAAAACCCTCTTGTGATTTTAGTATCTCAAGCACCGATCACCATCCTCGCCGAACCCGTTGCTTGCGACGAAGGGCTCGACAAGTAAATTAAGTTAAAGACACACTGAGTTTCTCGCTGGATCTAAAAGCGAAGTTTTGAACAACATAACATAACATAAATAGTTTTAAATAAACTTACACAGTACAAAACTATCAAACAAATATATCAGCCAATTACGACGAGAGGAAATGCGATTTTGTTCATCATTTAAAAAGACAGATGAGATCTATATAGAATCGTACTTATATATACAGATTTTGCAAATCTAGGTCGCACATGATGTTGAACGGTTCCCGAAGTGGATATCCCATCATAAATGTCACCGCTCACTCTAAGATACGAGGTGGAAGCCTCAATATATTTAATGACTGCTGCCCCTTCAAGCCCATGAATTAAAATTTACTTGTTCATTTGTAATGTTAATGTTAAATGTTAATTATATTACACGTGACACAGATTATGTATGGTTCTGTTATGTAATTGTCAAGTGAACATTCTTACAATTCGTTCGGCTATTGTTTGGCATCGAATTACCGTGACTTCTGTATGTGCCTATGTCAAATACATTTTTCCTAATTTATTTCATTTTATTTGTGAGAGTCATGTAATTTAGAAAAATATTGCAATTGTAGTTATATAGCGCTATAACTAATGTGTTACACTTAGCCAGCTGAGTTTCTTATCGGATTCTCTCAGTGCGTCGCGATTCCATATAGCATTCGCGAAGCAGCTGCCCGCGAGTTGTTAGGCTTCTCGGGCAGATGTTAGCAAATCTTATACCTGCTGTCTATTGCTCTCTGTATTTGGTACCGTATGTTCCATGGAGAGTGCTCTTTTACCATTACAACTCCCGTCATCGGAAGAGAGTTCATATATACTACCTGGAAACGCTACGTTCATCCAGAGTGCGTTTCCAGCGCTTCCAGCAGAACTTTTCTGTCAAAAACCAGCGGACTCTGGAGTGGACGCCCCTCCACGATATTTCCCGAGTGCTAAGACATATCCTTCTTCTAACAAGGCTTTTGGAGACTACTCAGCGGTGGGCAGCAGCTTGGCTCGGCCCCTGGCATTGATGAGGTCTATGAGCGGCCGAATTTATTACACTTACCATCAGGTGGGCAGTATGCTCGTCTATATAAGACCGATAAAAATAAAATCTTCTAGTATTACAATTTTAATTTACAAGTCATACTGTAGAGAAATCAGTGTTTTATTAAGTGCCTACAAATTAAAAAAAGCCGCCGCGCCGGTATGCTATCTGTAATTACAGCAAAATTATGACGGCATCTTTACCTTAATTATTTCCGTTTAAAAAGAAACTAAATCTGACGCTCAGGGCGCACATTACTAATCTATAACCGATAAACTTATTAATTGTGATAAGTGTCTCGAATCAATGCAGCGATAATACTGGAATTCGTTGCAAAATACGTAAATTAGCTAGTTAATCGATCTGTTCCTCACGTACAAAGTTTGACTACTGAAATTTCATATTAATCATATTCCACAACCAACAAGTTTCCCTATAATAAAGCCGCTGGTGGGTTATACAGCTAACTTCACGGGTTGAAAACATACCATATGTATTCTTTATGGTCTACAATAGCCGTTGTTACATACAATGGCACCGATGCATGATACCGATGCAGCATATAATGTGTGGATCTAATTTGAGTTAATATGAGCAGAATTCCATTAGGTGGGCAGGGTGGCGGCGAGGAGTGAGTTCTGCATGAACCTCGTCACCTATCCTCGGCCTGCATCTGTTGAGTTCTGTCTTATATGTATCACCGACGCGGGTTGTTGAGAGAAAGGGGTTTAGAAAGTCTGACTGCTTCCAAGACGTTTCTGAGGTGGGTTTGTAGTACTGACAGCGGTCCTCTTGCCCTTCGAATTCTGTCACGGACGAAACTTGGAATCGTTTAGTGGTTCCCTAAAACCTCTTTCAGTGATCCGCGTTTCGGTCGCGGGAAATACCCGTTACGCCCCGTATCGTTGGAGATTCGTCTATGGCCCTAAAAAGAAACCAACTTTTCTAAATAATTATGTACGTCTGTAACACATGATATCGTGTAATAAAAATGGAACCCGCATAGTTTTTTAAATTCACGTAAATGCCTACGGCTGGGGTACCGTAATAAGTGTCCAGTCAGGAAGGCAACACACTCTACATATTTATGCCGTGATATAGTCATGACAGTTGTTATCAATTCACGCTTTGACCTTATGTCTTAAGTTGGGTGGAAGCGTACATAAGGTCTATGGGTCCGTCTCATTATTTAACACTAAGAGAGCTGTGAACTGACAAAGTATACATGTATACTGTATATATTATGTGGTTAGAACATATATTAAATTTATAATGTAAAAAAATATTTAATTTACTGTTCTTTTTTTAGGGATTACCTGACAATGACACGGACTTTAAGCGAGTCAACACCGAAGAACGAACTTCGACTAGTGTAAAACTCGTTCAACACATCCAAATACCTCCGCAAGCGGACAAAAAAAATAGCAAGATAAGTGTTGAAAGTGGGGAATCGGTCTCTACTTTCAGTAATGACCACAACCGTAAAAGTAGTACTGGTCGTAAAACCATATCAGAAATAGTTAGAGGGGATCCGGAAAAACGTGAGAAGCAACGCAGGAAAAGAGGGATTATTGCTCCACATCCTACATTTGACGCAGCACGCTCACTGACTGACTTACAGTATGATGTCTTTGAAAAAGATGAAAGGTTTGTACTATAGAGAAATATCTGCTCGACTTTTTAATTTCACATTTCTTGCAGTTTCTTGATTTTAGGTAGAGCCTTTTCTATTTTCAACTAACTCCCGGTGCTTAACACTGACAATGTTTGTTCAATTTCAATAAGATCCCTTAAATCTTGGACTTTTCGCAGACTTAAACTGTTTTTTCTTGTTTATCTGTACAGGAATTTTTCGCCTTGATAGTACTTATTAAAATTGCAATTATTGTCAGGCTTTATCGCTATGGATTTTGTTATACGTCTTAAAACACGTAAACCTGACACTTGCTGATTAATTATATAAATAAAAATAAATCTCTCTTCTCGCTTGTCTAGATTTCGGTTCACGAAATTTAAAATCGTTAAAGATGAGTATTTTTGGTTCCTTTAGTGAATAAATTATTAGTTTCTGTTTGTGAGTAGCTATTTCACCGAGATAGTATTTTATCAACAAACTTAGGAGTAGTACCAAATATCCAAAATAATTATGACATGATTTTTAAACCCAAACAGGTCGGCAGAGCAAATACGAAAGGCTATTATGATGAATGATTTCTTAAGAAATTTAATGGATGACGAAAGACTCAATGCTGTAGTTGGTGCAATGATGACACAAGATTTCGAAGCTGGAAGTCTCATCATTCGTGAAGGAGAGAGTGGAAGTCATCTGTTTGTTTCGGCTTCAGGACAATTTGAAGCATTAAAAAGCGGCCAAGTCGTTAAGAACTTTGGACCAGGCGAAGTTTTTGGTGAACTGGCAATCTTATATAAAGCCAAACGATTCGCTTCAATACGATGTAAGTAATGTAACTTTCCTAAATGAATAAACCAGCAGAGTAAATTTTTAAAATTAAATTTTTAAAGGCACGGTGGCTGATTATGTTTATTGCTTCATAAAAGTTAACAAGAAACTAGCCGTAGGGCGAAAATAGATTTAAAAATTTCTTCTAAAGGCAAGAAGGAAGCAGTTTTATTTTTGAGCAAACTATGATGTACCACAGTATACTTTATGAATGAGCCTTTCATGAAATTAGATTCCAAAGATTTAACACTGTATTTAGCCTATTTTTAACGTTTCTTTCTAAAAAATGACTATTTGTCTACTACTTTTTTTGTTAAGCGTATTTGTTTTAGCAAACATGATATAGTAATCGGCAAACTTCTTGAGCAAATGACCTTGACTGCGCAGAACCGAATTTTAGATCACTTTGGTGGTGAGGGTGAGGCGCGACGGCAGGGGAAATCGTATCGAGCGCGTTATTGGTAGATCAGTCGAACCTTGCGTCCCGCACCGCGCCCTCTTTCCGCTTGCTCCCAAAAGTACGCTTGCGTACAGTGGAAAGTCTANTATTTTATCTACAATAATACGATACTTTGTTTTTTACAATAGCTAGCAATAGCAATTATAATAAATGAATGCAGTAGTTACAAACAAATGTAAAACTAAACGAACCCTTTTTTGTATTAATTATCAATATCTTGTTTTTCAAAGGTATAACCGAGGCGAGGGTGTGGACATTAGAGAGAAGAGTCTTTCAAAAAATCATGGTTCGAAGTGAACGCCAGGAACAGGAAGACAATATTCGTTTTCTTTCTTCTGTGCCGCTTCTGCAAGAAATACACCATATTGAATTAGCACAAATATCCGATTTCTTAAAAAGAGTGAGTTTTAAAGAAAATATTCTATTCAAATTGGAAAAATACTAACTATACGAGTATGTTAGACAAACCAATGCTTTCTACACAAATATTTTGACTTTTAACTAATACTTTGCCTAATAACGAAATTGTTTCATTTCTTTAACAGGAATTCTTCTCCACCGGTACAGCGGTGGTCAGACAAGGCGATCGTGGAGATAAGTTCTACATTATTCGCGGTGGGGAGGTGGTTGTTACGAAGCGTGAAGGGGATGATGGAGAAAAACGGATCGGAGTGTTGAAACGCGGTGATTACTTCGGGGAGCAAGCATTGCTGTACGAAGACCGACGCCTTGCGACAGTAACTGCTTTGCCGCCGGGCGTGGAATGCCTGACTCTGGATCGCGGGTAATATATTTATATATTTGCGTGAAGCACAAACTTTGTACTCCTTTTTGCGAAAATTGCGCAGACGGAGGGCAGAATTTTTTTTTTTTTACATATACGTAAAAAACCTTAAGTCAATAAAAAAAAAATTATTCACACTACCATGTATTTGACACACACACACACACACACACGTATATATACTCTTTGTTTATTGTCAAACTTTTGTTATTGTTTAATTTCTGTGGTCAAATTGAGAATAGATTAATATTGTTTTCTTTAATATTATTTGTCTCTAGTGTAGCCTTGGCGAAATCTCTGATTACAGAAGTATAATAGTGTTTGACAATAGAACCATAATAATGTTCAAACTTATAATTTCAAATAATTATTATTGTAGTCGAATTTCGATTACTGGGGGACCACTACATAGTATATATTATATATACACTTACGATTTGACTGGTGGTAGGACCTCTTGTGAGTCCGCGTGGGAGGGTACCACCGCCCCGCCTATTTCTGCCGTGAAGCAGTAATGCGTTTCGGTTTGAAGGGTGGGGCAGCCGTTGTAACTATACTGAGATCTTAGAACTTATATCTCAAGGTGGGTGGCGCATTTACGTTGTAGATTTCCATGGGCTCCAGTAACCACTTAACACCAGGTGGGCTGTGAGCTCGTCCACCCATTTAAGCAATAATTGTCCATTTCGATTTTATGGACTCCGGTAATCAGTCAATGCTAGGTGAACCGTAAGCTCACTTGTACATACATAAAATATTGTGGATTTTTTATTTATCCTAAGAAGGAAGCAAGGTCACTTCAACCTAGATTAGATTATCAAATATGATAACGTCGACTACTAATTACGGCAAAACATAATTTAAATTGCTTTACAGACCGTTCACTGAATTTCTTGGAAATTTGGAGAAATTGAAGAACATACGCCACTCAGTGCCCCGTCCATCGCAGCAGAAGAAAACATCTCAAGTTAAAAGCGGTCTGTGTAAACTATCTAACACAGAAATTAATTTAAACAAATTTACATTACTTAAATTTACATTAGAGTATGAGTTCGCAAATAACATATTAGTACTAGGTTTTCAAACAAACGATGACAGATATATATAATACATTCATATGTTTTGAGGATGTTTGGATTGTGCGTTAATGACGTATAAACTTTACAATGGTGTTCTTGTAATTTTAGATTAAATTTCTGTTTAACATTAATTTCAATACGTTACTATAGCTCTCTTTGATGTCAATCTACCACTTATTCGAATCGCAAAATTAAAAAAACATAATGTAAGCATAGCTTTTGAATCATTCGCGAAAAATTCAAATAGGTAGCCGATCGATGTAAGTCAGCCGGTTGGGAGCGACTTAGCTGTATCTCCGGTATTGGTAGCCTGATTTAACCACTAACGATCGGAAAATAACCATAAGACAATAATAAATAAATAAAAAGCGGGTGTCCAACAAACACCTCCGTTGCCTGTTATTTTTTTTACCTTATTTTTCAATGCACCTACCGTGGCTTACTCTGCACTGCCTTTAGGTTGACTGAGAAGACTAGACTAGAGATTAAGGCCCTAGGCATTAAGTCTGCCAATTTAAATAAAGCATGAAGCGTAATAAATAAATTAATGTAAATTTGGATAATTGATAAATATCCTGACATAGCAATACAACGCTCAAGTCTCGATTTTAAGGTTTTTTTATAGTCCACAAACGTAGGGCAAAAAACAGTGATATTTTTCTTCGTTTTTTAAGTAACCCACCGCAGTGTACATAGTTCTTCAACTTGTATTGCATTTTAATTTCACTCTTTTGGAGAAAAACGTTTACTTTTAAATATGCCAAAGAGGCCTTAAAAGCTTGTACTAAAATGAAACTCTTCCATCTGAGAAATATCGCTTTTCTATAACAAGGCGGCTAAAATCTAAAGTCTTTTCATTTAAAACACTTTTTTTTATTCACAGAATTCGAGTATGTTGAACTTAAAGATCTAGAAATAGTGGGAACGATGGGTGTAGGTGGCTTCGGTCGTGTTGAGTTAGTGCAGTACAAGCCTGCACCGAAACTAACGTTCGCCCTGAAATGTCTCAAGAAAATCGAGATGGTACAGCAACAGCAACAAGAGCATGCGTACAATGAGAAGAATATCATGATGAGTTGTAAGAGCCCGTTTATATGCAGGTGAGTTATTGATCCCCGAACGCCCTGTTAATTACTTAATCACTGTTAGTAACCTAACCTATACTTACGATCTTCAATAGTTGTCAATCTAAATATCTATTGTTGAGAAATGAAAAAGAAACAATTCTAATTGAACATAATCATTCTTTCCCCCTTTGATTTTTCACGAGTTCTGTCTCATGCGAGGTTTGGACGTTGGTTGTTGAGCGACAGGAGGTTTTAGTCAGTTCGACTCCGACATGCCCCGCCCTCCATTCCCTAGTGGAGGGCGGGAGTCCGGCGATTTCCTCCTGACCAAAAAAAAAAAGTGTGGTGTATTATTTCTATTTACTTCTAATAATCATTAATCTAATTGATTTAATAAATTTCTGTCATGGCATCAAATTTTATCATTGTATATGTTATCACTGATATTTATTCGAACAAAGACGTGACATAGTAATACTCATATTTCATCGTAATTGATACTTCGGTAAATAATTTATGAATAATTAAGATATTTTGTAAGGGGCTTCACTGTTTGAATTTATTGCAGATTGTATCGCACATTCAAAGATAAAAAATACATTTATTTTCTAATGGAACCGGTATTGGGTGGCGACGTGTGGACTATACTACAGAAACAGCGTTTCTTTCCAGAAAACGTTGCTAAGTTCATAGCCGCCTGCGTCACAGAAGCTTTCCAATACTTGCATTCGAAAGATATCATTTACAGAGACCTCAAACCCGAAAATCTAATGCTCGATAAATACGGCTACATCAAATTGGTATGTGTTCGGTATTTTCCTTATCTAATCGTTGTTATTATTATAGCGGCATGATTCAATAATTTAATTTTTTAGGTCGACTTCGGATTTGCTAAACGTATTTCGCCGAATAGTAAGACATGGACGTTTGCCGGAACACCCGAGTACGTTGCGCCAGAAATCGTACTAAACAAGGTTAGTTATTACTAACAAAGGAACATGGCAAGAACAATACTCCTATTTTGAAAACTAAATGGCTGAACGAATTCACTGTTCTACTTTAATGGAGACCACAGTAGTCGTAACATTTTTTTGCCCTACCTATTCGCTAGTAGCTTCAGAGCTACGTCCGGACGGGTAGGTGTGCTCACTGGCTGTTGTAACATAAACATCTTACTGGTGGCAGGACCTCTTGAGAGTCCGCGCGGGTAGGTACCACCACCCTGCCTATTTCTGCCGTGAAGCAGTAATGCGTTTCGGTTTGAAGGGTGGGGCAGCCGTTGTAACTATACTTGAGACCTTAGAACTTATATCTCAAGGTGGGTGGCGCATTTACGTTGTGGATGTCTATGGGCTCCAGTAACCACTTAACACCAGGTGGGCTGCGAGCTCGTCCACCAAACTAAGCAAAAAAAAAAAACGCCACCATGCATCTTGAGACATTTGGTAAAAAGTCTCAATTTTACTGACTTACGTATTTAGTCGCTGTGAGAAATCGGCAGGGGGTAACAATAACTTGTACCACCAATTGTACAATCAGTTTTCATTTCATATCTCACCATAGATACTGTTGTTCGATACGTATTTCACTAGAAAAATGTATACCTAATAGTGGGATATAAAGAAGAGCACAGTACCGTTGCTTGGTACGAGCACACAGCCACGTCCTTACGAATCCATTAGATCCAATAACCTTTGCATTAGACGCCTTCAGCTCTAATACTAAGAGCAGGCATAGGGACCCCGATAACCGTACTCGTCGAACTCGACAAAGAGGTCGACGTGCAACCTAACCCATGCATCAGCCCGTTGAGTTTCTCGCCGGATCTTCTCAGCGGGTCGCAATTCCTATCCGGTAGTAGATTCATTCGCGAAGAAATTGCTCTTGAGTTAGGTCTCCTTCGGAGGCGCTCGAGCAGTTGTTAGCAAATGCCACCCCTTCTGGCTGAGCCTTTGCTCGCCCACCTGTCCTGGTGAAACTGGAAAGGCCTTCGGGCCACCAGTAATCTAAGAAAAATACGAGCATGCCTTAATCCTTGGCCTTAATCCTTAATCGATGTAGATGAATCATACATGATATTTTTTACGTCCATTTAATTTTTATTTCTGTTGATGTATAGGGTCACGACCGGGCAGTTGACTGTTGGGCTTTGGGCGTATTGATCCATGAGCTACTCGTCGGCAACTCTCCGTTCCGTGCCCGGGGCGGGGATCACATGAAAACCTACACTCTAATATTGAAAGGAATCGATGTAGTAGATTTTCACCCGAGAGTTTTGAAGTCTGCTCAAATGCTCATACGCAAGCTATGCAAAGCTGTGCCCAGTGAAAGGCTCGGATACCTCAAAAATGGCATGGCTGATGTCAAAAATCACAAGTACGTATGCAAAAAATGTAAATAAGCACACTAAATAGATTCATAGCTACCTTCGTTCAGACCTGTAGGTGACACAATATCCCCATAGTAGTAATACAAAGGTATGTGAAGATTTGCATAAAATCGTCAAGAGTACAATCGACAACAGTAACCGATATATATAGTATTTCCATACTACCAATTTATAAAAAGACAAAATTGCTCAGTACGTTTTTCTTCTCTGTTTTTAGAACCGATTTTTGGCTCATTACCTACAAGTTATAGAATTTCTAAAATTTGTGTTTTGGAAATACTGCTCCGACTGGTGCGTTAGTCTAATACTTGAACCTTTATGATCTTAGTCTCTAATTACATTAGAAAAAGATTCTAATTACCTTTCTAATAAGGCAGGACGGTGGTACAAACCTGACCGTTCTATTAATTTATATTGCTCATAAAGTCGAAATTTCAACATTATTTTCTGACAACTGTCCTACCCTTCAAATAGCATATTGTTATGGGTTCACACCTAGTCTTGCGTGCTCTAAATAGGCCTTATTCATCTTATTTCTTATGTTTTCAACATGGATGTCACTTCTTAATCTAAGTTAGGCGAATAATTATTTGGAAAAATTCTCAAACTCCTGCTCAAAGATCGAATCAAATCACAATCGAATGAATATTTACACCGCGTGTCTTTGTTAGACTGTGGACACGACAAGCATAATAATTTTATTATTTAGGACTGACTGATCGACGTCCTCCTAAACTTTTATACAATTAATTCTTATAAGAATTTCAAATGAGTTCAGAAAACAAGTTCCCCTTCCCCTTAAAGAAAATTTAAACTGCGGTCAACTAAATTAATGGCTTTGCTTACTAATAGTTTTGATACTTTTTTACGAGTACGGAGTTCGACCTCAAGTTCTGTATTCGTTAAAGATATTTGCTATTTCGAGTCTTGCAATGGTTGTTCTTGTCTCGAATGATCAGAATTATGTTTAGAACAAAGTAAATAACACTTTCCGGGACTTACGTTGTATGTGGGACTTTTGTGTATATGATCGACGAACAATTGCAAATGTGCAGATAGTGAGATATTACATTCAAAAGAAAAACCGAGTTATACGCTATTTATATAAGCAACCCCGCTTAATCATCCGCATTCTTGATAGTTTATGGGTCCTACTTACCAAGTTATGTGGGATTAGAGGCTGTGAGTGCCCTACGACTTCGTTCCGCATATAAATAGCAATTTGTTGAGTTTCTCATAAACAAAATAAGCACACCAATGAGCGAGTAATATACAACTATTTTCTAAGAAAATAGGTATCGAATGGTGTATCAACATTTCAACACCCTCTCGTTTAAACGAAATCAAGACTTTCTTGGATGATTTCGCCATTGCCAAATGCTTTACCAAAAAATCATTGTACCTTTTATGTTTTTAAATGAGAACTTGTGCGAGTAACATATCTGATGAAGTCCTCTAAATTTAATATTGAATTAAAGATTCTGGATATAACGGGCATATGAGAGCGTCACGGATATCGAAAGAGAAATTCACGGATTAGTAACAGTAACTAGAAGAGGCCGCCTTTGGCGCAAACTAGCTGAACTGTCCTTCTGACAAACTGTCCTCTGATAAGCACACCAATTTTGTGATATTCATTTTGCAGATGGTTCCTCGGATTCGACTGGGACGGTCTCCGAGAAAAAAGACTGAAAGCGCCATTAATTCAAGCAGTAGCCAACGACCTTGACCTGTCCAACTTCGAAAAATACCCACAAGAGAAACTGCCACCAGACGAAACGTCTGGCTGGGACTTAGATTTCTGATTTCGCTTGTATTATATAAGATGGAATTATGCTTAAAACTTGTGTTATTTTTTTCACAAAATTTTCAAATTAGCTTAATAAAGTTTTTATATATTTATGTAGATGTGATGTAAATTGATATATTGTACATACATCAACCACATAGGTACCACTACTGTGAATATTTGATTTACCGAATTAAATAGTGGTTATAATTTAAAGTTCAATTTATCGATACCTAATCCCGTTCTCAGGNTACGCAAATTATAATTTTGCGGGTTTGATTTTTATTACACGATGTTATTCCTTCACCGTGGAAGTCAATCGTGAACATTTGTTGAGTACATATTTCATTAGAAAAATTGGTACCCGCCTGCGGGATTCGAACACCGGTGCATCGCTTCAACACGAATGCACCGGACGTCTTATCCTTTAGGCCACGACGACTTCAATGATTCTGGAATGAACGCAGTGTGACATGAGCGCTATGACATGTTCCTCATCAAACGAGGTTAGAGAAATGTCCGCAGCAGTAGACAACAGTTTAGCATTGCTGATGTCCATGAGCGACCGTGACCATCAAGTGAACCGTAAGCTCCTCTATCTACAAAGACAATAATGAAAAAAGGGTAAAAAGGTGTAATAATAGGAAATTCGACCTAATACTTACCTACCTATAGGTATATTTTCACTTGGCACTTTATATCGCATTTAATACTTAAAAGACGTAAGTGAACTCGAAATTGTAGATTCGAAATTAACTATTAAATAGAAAATCTGTCATTACAGTTAATAGATTATAAATAAAAAACAACCAAAAATTCATTGTTTATGGTATGTTTAATTATCATAACACACAATGCTCCCTAAATCAAACCTTGACCAGCAAGGTCAGCGCTCGGTAACAATACCAAAATAGGAAAGCGATACATTGTCAGTTAAATGTTCTAATCTTCTGGAAACATCAAGTTTAAAATACCAATAGGCGATCCAACAAAAATCATGTGCTCTAATGACAGCGTACAATGTAGACAATAAATTCACTGCATAAATTAAAGCGCGAGTGTTGCGGGTCGCCGATCTTTCTTATAGTGTATACATATGTATATTATATACTATCGAGGCTAAGAGACGTGTCGTATCGTATCCGACGTATCGCAGAGCAGTAGGGGACGGGTAGTGCCGTTGGTTCAACGCATGCATACGGTACTGCTTGGACCCATTCAAGTTTAACTTTTTTCCCCAAAACTGTCACGCATGCAGTCTCGCGATCGCGGGCGTGCGGATCGGCTACCACGCGTGTGCCTCTGACCGCGATTTGCAAGTGATTTTTCACAAACACCGAAGAAAGTAGAAATATCGTTTACCAAACGAAATAAAAAACAAAACAAAGTATTCTTACAAGCAGCGGGTACATAAAGTGTGTTTTACTCATTTTATCGTGGATAATGTGCTTCAATTTCAATTAAGAATGTGTTTTGTTTTACCATAAAACAACTTTACCTACGAATTAGGAATTCTGGACTTATTCTCTGTTTCTTCGGTCGAATCGGATTATTTTAAATATAAATTCAAAGTTAAGCACCGGTACGTAATATATAAATCATAAAACAGTCATCATAATTACACAAAAAGAACCCAATTTTAATACCGAATTGTGATAAATCGAAACCTCATAAAATATTATTTATAGAAACATAGTAATTTCGAAAACAATGATAATGATGTCATGAATTTGTTAACATAGTATCAAAATTGAAGGATAAACTTTGTACTAGAAACATTAGAAAGACGTAGGCATTTATAACCACGTAATAAAATCTACGAAAATAAAATTCAATGAATTGCTTTAAGAGATGTGTCGTCAGCGGAGCTATGTTGGTATTTCCTTTCCCCACTTATCAACAGTTATTTCGTAGTTATCGCATTCTGGTATCGTATACTTCAATTCGAATTAGAATGAACTTTCTATAAAACCTTCACGCGACATTAACAAATATTATAATAAGATAAAATAAAAAACTTAGGAAAATAATAATGAAGTTTTATTTGAAAATAAGGAATTAATTTATTAAAAGAACACATTTTAACGTCATAAATTCTCCATAGTCGCGAACCACCATTATAAGTAAAAATTATGGAATATATAATTACAGAATTAATGGCGTGATTTAAAATATACTTAACCTAATAAAAATAAACCTAGTAGACTAGACCTTTCCAGAGAAAATACAGTTAAGACAGTTGTTTTTTATTAATCGAAACATAATCCAGGTTCTCATTTAAACTTCCTTCTTTCTAGACATTTTCAAATATTTTCTAAATTCTAAATTTCCCTTTTATGCTTACGCGATCTTATGACATAATGTGTAAATAAAAAAACCATTCCTTAAAAATTTTGTTGTAAACTTATCTCATATGCATCTTTCTTAATCTTTCTTCACTTCTGGGACCTTACGAAATTTGTTTTATTTTGATGAATAGATTTTAACCCGTTATCTACATAAACAACGACAATCGACCACGATTAAATTCGGTGAGAAGATACGTATTATTTTGAAATGGAGGCAGTTTGTGGTCAAAGTGATAGAAGCTGTGAGATGCGAGCATTGAATGCCGCACTACATTCACTGCACCTGTACTGCGCTACAATCACTGCGGGATTAATGTACTGTTGTTCCACCACGCACAAACATTACAGGTTAGATGCTTCAATAAACTTTAACTATACGTTTGCGATTCGTTTTCCACAAAATTGAATAATTCAACTTTTTACCCGACTCGTCCTGCGATGTTAACGATTGACTTAAACGCAGCCTTTACCAATGCCAAACAGATTTACTAAGAAACCACATGAATACATATTACGATACTAAAATTTGACCTGCTGATGCAATCGTTTTCAAGCTTGCGACCGACATAATAACAATCACATTTAAATTTGGAACAGAAAAATTAGCTAAACTCATTAATTTAACTTAGCAAGTCCATGTATTCGCTGTCACTTTGAACAAAAATAAGAACATTGCATATTCAGGTTTTTATTTATATATCGATTGACGAAACGGCTCATCTGTGTGAAGTAGCTAGCGGAGCCTTTGGACAACATCACAACGTGAATGTCGCCACTCACCTTAGCCACATATGAGGTCTAAGTCTCAATTGAATTATATATTAGATCAGGTTTTGCACCCTTAAGGCCAGAACTCATAACTGCTTCGCGGCAGAAACGGGAACAATGGACTTACTTACGTGCAAGCATTTACAAAACGCTGTAACACGAGTAAAAAGGGATTTATGGGGAAAGCCTATGCTCGACAGTGAATATTTGGGATGGAATTGAGGATGGCGGAAGTTAATAGATACTTAATAATGGATATTTACAAAAAGCCTACTATTACTAAATTAACTTATTATTAAGCTTCGAAAAATATAGAAATGATATTTAAGTTACTTAGAGTTTTAAAGATGATGCGATAAGACTATCGAAAATTTTACAGTTTTATAATATCATAAATTCTTTTCAGAATTCTAGAATCAGATCTAAATTATCAAACATCGAGTTAATTTAGTTTACTTTCAAAATTCTTTTATTTTTATTTACTTCTTTGTGTGATCTAATTTAGATATAAGAAGAACTGGAGAGCTCAAAATGTACGAGGAGTGGCCAGTCTTGCTCTGTTTGGTATCTGGTGCTGTGGGGCAGCGGCGGCACTTCTACGTCGCACGGATACTGTACGATTAGTCTCGGCCCTCATGGCACCTCTTGCCTGGATCGCAGCGGCCTGCTTCCACGTCGCGCTATGGAATAGACAATCCTCAGCGCCTATATTGTACTTGGCGATATATTGGTCACTCTCAGCCGTATCAGCCGCTTCCATTCTTTGGCAGCACATCCGTGTCGGCGCTGAAGTCAACCATATAGAATTATATATTCAAGGTGCCTCATTGCTGCTTTCTTTAACGATATCCGCCGTAGACTGCGCGTGCTTTTACGAAGTGGTAAGTGTGTCGCTAATGCTTTTAAAGTACTAATGTGCATTCACTAAACGGCTTACTTCCTTTATCCGTTAACGTTCGCTGCCGTTAGCTCTCCTCCAAGGAGGTGACTTAACTATCGGCTTACGTAAGTGATAAGCTTTAAACTTGTAGTTGCATCATGTAACTTAAACTGGCTACTAGAAAAACATTAAGAACAATGATAGTCCTAAAAACAGTTGATTCCAAAAATGGTTAAATGTTACAAGAACCATTGAATTGCATTAAGGCAAATGCCAATTCGTGCATTTATTTTAGATCAAAATATCAAGGGTAGTGTTGAGTCAAAAACTAACAACATATTACTGTGTTATACCTTTACTCAATGAAAACTCATGAATTTTAGGGGATAATTTAAGAAGGCTCCTCTTAATATCACAATTAGGCAAACAAGCTTGTAGTCCAACTGGTGTGAAGCGAAACTCAAAATGTGAATGCCGTCACCCATCTTAAGACGTAGAGTTAAGGTTTCAATTACATTGATACAAAGGCTATTCTATCCTTCTGCAAAGTACGATTACTCCTGATAGAAATAGGTAGGACAATGCTACTAATTTGGGTGGGCTAACAACTCGCTCCACAAAGTTTGGTAAAGATACTATTTACTAAGAACGTACGATGAGAGAAATACTACACTAGCACCCATGTCCATTATTTATTTATTTATCAGTAACCGAAATTTAGTTCGTATAACATATTTAAAATACTCCCAATTTTAGACAATACCTGTTTTCCAATATCTCGAAACAAATTCATACTATTATTCTGTCTTCGAAGATTTGTTGAGTCAATTATTGGAAACATGAAGCCAGGCGCCATGTACAGTCAGCCCCCTGTCGCAGACAATGGCAGACATAGCTATGCGTCTGGCGCCATCTCAGTTAGCACTTTGCCATTAGTAGTCTCGTAACTAATGTACATGTGTATTAAGTTGAATTAACTGAAGGCACACTCATCATTACCTTACAAATGCTGACGGACAAACGACTTGAACACATTGTCGCCCATGCTATTAACAATGCATGTACATTACAATGCTGATCAGCTACCAATGGTAAACATTTGTGACTAGGTCTGAAGACTACTGGCTCTACCATAACATATACACTATCTGATAATAATAAATAAAGGGCTATATACATACATGTAAAATACAATCTTTTTTAATAGATAATGACAAATCTTTCTTTGGATTTTATAATCCGACAGGAATTTCTATCAACTGTACTACGATAAATATACTGTACTTTCCTCTTAAAAAAGAAACAATACTTGTAAACAGTGATCTTGTGAGTGAGTGAACTTTGCAAAAGTGCCTACTGGAAAGAGTTACCAATTATAAATTGCCATTTTAAAATTGCGTTTCTGCATATTTTCACCACGTTAATACGTTCACTACGTGCATCAAAATTTGAGTAGTTGATAAAATGACGCTTATATTTAACAAAATATTCAAACAAAAAACATATGTAGTAAGTACACATTATTAATTATTTCAGGTAACAAAACATTTTAGTCATCGCGACAAGACGACGAACAGCTCAAGCAAGGTCTCTTACAAACACAATAGCTCTCATTTTTATTCCAAAATCTCGTTTTATTGGATAAACGGTCTGTTATACAAAGGGTATGAATCTCCATTAGAGATGGAGGATTTAGGAGAATTACCAGATAAAGAAAAATCAGTCAAATATTACAAAAAATTCCACAGCATTTATAAAAGCGTTGAGGTAAAAACCGTTTAATTTGCCTATTTCCTATGAAAAATTATTTATGTATACATTATTGCTTTCGATGGGACAATTATGCGTTTCGCGGCTAGCGTATAATAATCATGGTAAAACGTTATTAAGAACCGTCACAAATTTTCTCTGTAATAAACATTGAGTGAACATTGACATATCACAAAAATGATTATTTTAATAGGCTACTACTGTAATTATTATAGCCTTTTTTTTTTTTTTTTTTATTGCTTAGCTGTGTGGACGAGCTCACAGCCCACCTGATGTTAAGTGGTTACTGGAGCCCATAGACATCTACAACGTAAATGCGCCACACACCTTGAGATATAGTTCTAAGGTCTCAGTATAGTGACAACGGCTGCCCCACCCTTCAAACCGAAACGCATTACTGCTTCACGGCAGAAATAGGCGGGGCGGTGGTACCTACCCGTGCGGACTCACAAGAGGTCCTACCACCAGTAATTACGCAAATTATAATTTTGCGGGTTTCATTTTTATTACACGATGTTATTCCTTCACCGTGGAAGTCAATCATGAACATTTGTTGAGTACGTATTTCATTAGAAAAATTGGTACCCGCCTGCGGGATTCGAACACCGGTGCATCGCTTCAACACGAATGCACCGGACGTCTTATCCGTTAGGCCACGACGACCACATAGCCTTGTCCTTGTCTAACTACTTTACAACTAATTGTTTGAACTGTGCATCGGAAACGTATAGTAAGTATAGTTGTCAAACTAAAACGTGTCTATGCATAGTACGCATCTAGTAGTAGCAGTATTTCAAAGGAAGAAAATATTGTTAAAATTCAGAAGTTAAAAAATACTAGATGATGATGATTGATAACGCTATCTTGTTGTGTCTTTAAAGCGGTTAGTTGCCCTCAATTAAGAAAAATAGTATTATTATTCGCCAATAGATGTCGGGAAGAGTTGATTATTGAAAACACGAAAAAAACAACATTTTCTGAAAATAAATCGTAGATAGATCGATTTATCGCCCCCGAAAACCCCTGTATACTAAATTTTATGAAAATCGTTGTAGTCGTTTCCGAGATTCAGATTTATAAGTATATATTAATATACAATAATTGCTCGTTTAAATGTATAAGATAAGATATTCGTATGCAGGAAAACATTACATTTCGTTTATAATGACATTGTTGCATCTATGAGCTCAGGACCCACTTAGAGTTAAGCGATTCGGTAATTGAGTTCATAGACATTAGACAAATATACCATACCATGTGGTACATGGTTGATGCGGCTCTTCAAATTGGAATGCATGAATGACTACTTTGTTAGAAAAACGGGTAGTAGTAATGTCCACTAATACGAGCTCGCAGTGCGCCCTAAACGATTTTTGATTGAACAGTCATAAAATATGTAACTACATATCCCTTTTAAGAATTTGTTACATTGACAACGGGAGTGTGCAGATTGTCAATCGTATTTTGTTAAATGAAAAATTATCAGTTTAATTTCTCTTTAAGCAACTTTATCAAGAGTAATAACTGATATTTTTTAATTCTGCACATTGACCGTAACATAGCTATGATAATGTCGACCAAGTAGCTTTACTTAGCACCCGCGAACATACTTTGCGTCATGTGATACAATTTTCAGTCTCGATGAGAAACTTGCATGGCACCGTGGAGAGCGCGATACAATATGAAAATCGTCTTTAAATCAGCATTTCTTTTTTTTTTCAGAAAACAAAGTATGACGGTGGCCCTAGTATATGGACATGTTACCTATGTAGAGTGTGGCCAAATTTTTACATTGGTGGTATTTTAAAACTTTTAGGTGACTTAATAGGTTTAGTTCCACCATTGGGGCTGGCTTTCATAATTCAGTTTATTGAAAGTCCGATTAGTAACGAACGTAACAGTAACGAAGCACATGTAACTTTAAGAGAATTTATCGGTAATGGCTACGTCATGTTATTAGTAATTACTTTGGCTTTGATTTATCAGGCCTTACTCTCTCAAAATTCGACGCATTTAGTAACAGTGGAAGGTGCCAGATTAAAGACTGCTTTACAAGTTAGTTAAAGTTGATTTTTCTTTTTAAAAGCTTAGTAGCATAGCTTCTTTATTTTCCAAATGTTCATTTTGATTTTAGGCTATGATTTATGACAAATGTATGCGTATAGCATCTTGGACGCCATCGGAGTCAAATTTAGACGAAGATTCCCCTTTGCTGATGAATTCGGACGATGAGAGCAATACGCGATCTGGTCTCATAACGAATTTAGTTTCACAAGACACATACAATATTATGTCTTGCGTTTGGATTTGTCATTACATATGGGCTATACCACTTAAGGTAAAAAGGTGTTATAAACACAATTTTAAAATAAAATAAACGAGATAAATGAAAGCGTGAAAACATAATATTTTTATTGACAGTTTAAAATTTCAGGTGGCTGTGATACTATATCTATTGTATATGAAATTAGGCGTAAGCGCAATTATCGGAGCAGTAGCAAGCGTGTTAGTGATCACACCCTTGCAATTTCTTGTAGGAAAGAAACTTTCAGATAACTCTAAGGATATATCTAAATGTACGGATCACAGAATTTCCAAAATGACCGAAATACTGCAAGGAATAACTGTAATTAAACTCTACGTATGGGAAGATTTGTTTAAAGAAAAAATATTACAACTTAGAGAAGTCGAACTGAAACTGCTAAATAAAGATTCATTATACTGGAGTTTTTTGAGTAGGTAACCAGGGAATATACAATAGTTTAGATATCGTTCAACACGGGTTCACATGATTATTTTATTTTCAGCTTTTTCGACACAAGTCTCTACAATCTTAATCACAGTTATTACATTCACTGTATATTTTTTCATAGAAGAAGGAACCGGCTTAACCGCGATGAACGTATTCGCTGGCTTAGCCTTCTTTAATCAGCTTTCCGTTCCATTGCTTATTTTGCCAGTCACTGTCCTCATGATAATTCAAGCTATGGTAAATAGAATGAATTTGTCGATTTTTACATCATAATATTATATTAAGCATTGATCTTGCACTACCAGTAATGAAAAAGTATCAAATTTTTAGGTGAGCACAAGACGAATCAAAGATTTTTTGGATCTTCCCGAATCGAACAATGTAGGAAACGAATTTACTGACTATGAAGAGTTATCGAACAAACCTAATGTCCCTTGTAATGACAATACACATCAGAATGACGAGCCATCTCACGATTTAATGGCCAATAAAGATGAGATGTGTGAAATTGAGTTTGCTGAGCGATTATCAAATGAGTCACACGTTAATAAATCGGAATTCTCTCAATTGGTCACATTTCGAAATGCGGCGTTCACGTGGGGTGTGAAAGATGATCTACTGGAAGTTGGCGATCTTGAAATTCCATCAGGTTTATTTTTATAAGCAATATAATTTTCTCTTAACTAAGTTACAATTTTACAAAATCTACTTTTTTTTAGGGAAACTAATTATGGTTGTCGGAGGCACAAGTGCTGGAAAATCGTCATTCTTGTCTGCTTTAATTGGAGAAATGTATCTTGAGAGAGGAGATGTGTTATATAATCGGTAGGTTTGAATGTAATTTATCAACAAAGTACTAACATTAATTTATTAATTATTTAATTAACATTAATTAAACCATTTATTTAACATTAATTAAATGATTTTCTGTTCATATTTTCGCTGAGAATAAAAAATGCCATCCGTAACCCCACGACTTCAAGTACCTACATGATAAATACCACCCCAACTAAAAACACAAACGTTATTCCAAATAATTATCAACAGTACAAAATTAAAATATAAAGAATAACTGCAAAATATTACAATAAAATGATAAAATCAACAGTCACATTAGTACGATTAATGGCTCTTATCGGCATTGCTTTTAGGCAATCGAGTAATAAAAATAAGAAAGAAATTAAACAGGTAAAAAACCTTTAACAGTACTACGGTAATACCGTTTACCATAAAAGGTGACAGCTAATAACTTTATAAAAATAGGCAATGCAAAACTACAACCATAAAAATTGAAAATAAAAAAACAGCGAAACAAATATAAGAGAATTTCAATATGAGCTCATTTCAAGGCCAGTTTGTCATGTCAATGCTGCAATTAATTTATCTATTTCCAAGCAACTAAATTAACCTCATCAAATGTATCTGAAGCAATTCAAATCAATTTAACGCTGTACACAATGTCTGTGTCCTTGATCGTAGATGTGTTGATTAAGAGCAAACTTTATAAATATTTCTTGGCTTCTAAAATATTTTTCACCATCAAAACAGAAACAGTTCGAAGTGGTATGCCGGTCAGCCTCCGTGGTTGCTAGAGGCTTCAGTTCGCGATAACATAATAATGGGTCATTCTTGGTGTCAGAAAAATTATGCACGTGTTCTACGCGCCACAGGTCTGCGGCCAGACTTACAACTTTTACCAGGTTTGATTAATTATTTATTACATTAACTAAGACTGTATTACGACAATTATATTATACAATACCATCCCACAAAAACTACTTTAATTGCGAGTCATTTTCATGAGCACCTATACTATTTTTAAAGATATTCAATATTCATAGACGTCTTTATAAGTATTTATTTATATTTGCGTCAATTGGCATCAGGTGATGATGTGATTCATCAGGTAAGTATATAACGGTATGTTTGGCTTTCGATTCTCAGTAGTAGGTACTAATGATACTTTACTGTTACGAAAAAAAAATGCTGCTTATGACAATAAATATAAGTACGAGTACATCCTATCATTAACCTATACATTTGCATTACCGACATAACATATTATATTTCCGTATTTGAGTTTTGTTCCAAATCCAATAATTCAATTCAAATGAGATATGAGACATGGATAAAACGCACTGCATCTTTTTATTGGCTTAGATGAGCTAACGAATTCACAGTAGACCTGATGTTAAATGAAGACCTAAGACGGCACAGCTTAAATTCGGTAGCCGGGCTCATCAGATCATAGTCATAATTGCATTAGAAAAGGTTTTGTCAAGACAAAAAGTCTATATAAAATCTATATGTTAAAACTGAAACGGATGATTACTTTAATCACTTCCTTGTAACAGTATTCAAGATTGGAGAATTAGGGGGAGCGAGGATGATATGATAACGTTCGTAAGATAGGAAAGATGGGACACTCATTAATTCTAATTTCTCAAGTATAGTCTGATTATTAGATAGACAATTCTTTGACCAACTACGACATCTGTAATTGAGATAAGCCTTTAATACCAAAATGCCATTTGGTGAACAGAAGGCGACGCAACCCGCCTGGGCAGCCACGGTACTCCCTTATCCGGCGGTCAACGCATTCGCGTGAGCATTGCTCGAGCATTATACTCCAAGGCACAACTGCTGGCTTTAGACGAGCCGTTGGCTGCGCTCGACGCTGCACTCGCCCGGCATGTGGTAGCGCGAGGACTGGTGCCGGCTGTCCGCGCAGGACGAACCATTGTCCTCGCAACTAACAGACTGGAACTACTTCACTATGCTGACTTGGTTAGTATTTAAATACATCAGAAAGCTTTTTCCAATCGATAAATGTTTAATAATAATAACAATAAGTAAATAGATTAGATTGTATTCTTCTACCAACTTATGTAAAGCTCTTCCTCTTTAAGAACGGTTAGGTGGTAGATAACTTCAATTGTTGAGTTAAGCTCGCCATTTTATAACTTTTCGTAATTATTGTTTTGTATTAACTTTTTTTTTATTGCTTATATGGTCGGACGAGCTCACAGCCCACCTGGTGTTAGGCGGTTACTGGAGCCCCTAGACATCTACAACGTAAATGCGCCACCCACCTTGAGATGTAATTTCTAAGATCTCAGTATAGTTACAACGGCTGCCCTACCCTTCAGACTGAAACGCATTACTGCTTCACGGTAGAAATAGGTAAGGCGGTGGTACCTACCCGTGCGGACTCACAAGAAGTCCTACCACCAGTAGCTGTGCGTACAATAAAGAATAAAGAGTAATAAATTAAACTATTTTAAATAACCGTAGATTATCGCAATGGATAATGGACGTGTGAGCGGATACGGTCGAGTGTCCAGCGCCAGTAACGACAGCTACCTATCGCGCTGGGTGCAGCTTGCAAGCGAAGCTCGTGCAGCTGCAGCGCGAGGATGTGCTGGTCCTCCTGACGGAACTGCACGGGAACGGGCGCGGCTCGTACGAGTGCTCAGCCGGGCTAAATTCCAAAGATGCGCATCAGAGGATACTGCAGTCAGTTGATTTCTTTTAATCATTTAAGTTTTTATAGTTGTTTCATAGTTGTTATAGTTAGTGTGTATGTAATTATAATTGTTTTTATAGTTGCTTTTATAGTTGTTTCATAATGTCGTTCATTTCCAAAATATTTAGCAGCTGTGTCTACCATCCACAGAGTCAATGGTCTCGTGCGATACGTTTCCATTCCGTCATCACCCTTGTCTTTACATTCCGACTAATGAAATAAGAACTAGAGCTCTACTGCTAACTATAGCTCAGATAATGAATTAGTATTTTTTCCATATACGATAGGACTATCCTAGTTTATACCCGTTTTGTCTTTGGGTGCGGTACCCTAACATATGAAAGATATTCCGAATTGAAGACGAGAGATTTTGGTTTATTTGAATTTGATTGACCTAGATCAGGGGTTCCCAAACTTATTTTCCCTACTGTCTACTTTAAGTGTAAATTATTTTTTAGCGTCCACATTTTTTCACCTACTTAATTACCACTATAGCGAGAGCTCGGTCGGTGTCTAAGAGGCCTCCTTGATGAAATTACAAATCGCCTCCCAAGCCTCCGTACAACGCCCCCATTTTTTCTGGGTCTCTTACCGCCCCCCTTTAAGCCTGCAGCGCCCACAAGGGGGGGCTATCGCCCACTTTGGGAAAGGCTGACTTAGATGAATAATCTGAATTACAGATCGGCATAACAGAGGCAGCAGGGGCGCATTTGTTAGCAGAGGTACCGATGTACACTGGCGGTAGTTGGCGTAGAGTAGTGCAGCAACAGAGACCGCCCCTCATGAGGCAGTTCTCATCACCGCCACCATCATCTATGTAAGATATGTTAATTGTCATAAGTTGGGTATCTAATGTTTAAACGACCTGTAATTTAAATTGATCTTTGATGTTCTCCTCGAAATACCTTTTTATCGCTTTGACGATGGGTGGACGAGCTCACAGCCTACCCGGTGTCAAGTGGTTACTGGAGCCCATAGACATTTACAACGTAAATGTGCCACCCACCTCGAGGTAGAAGTTCTAAGGTCTCAGTATAGTTACAACGGCTGCCCCACCCTTCAAGTCGAAACGCATTACTGCTTCACGGCAGAAATAGGCGGGGTGGTGATACCTACCCGTGCGGACTCACATGAGGTCCTACCACCAGTAATGTGTAACCAGATACCTAGTCTGTAAATTTAAACGTTTGTAACGTAATCTTTCATTGGCTAAAATATAGTCCCTCTGTGTCTAAGTATGAATATATATAAAAAAAAAAAAAATTGACTGTAGATGGCGTCGTGAAATACGTCGTACAGTCAGTGCGGATGAATCAAACACTACACTACAACGAGAAGTCAGTCTTCTTCGACGCTGGCTACGACCACAAGGAAACCGAACTCTTAGAAGGTACATCTATCAGGAAAATTTAAGTGACAGAGAATCAGCTGCTGTGGCTTTAATGAAACTATCATTAGTTTTTTACAAATTTATTACAATTTACTTTTTTTTTCAATTTAAAGTAATTTTCCATTTCGTTTGGTCCTGGTAAAAGTTTCGTGTTGATAATACCGACGCTATTTGCCTTGACAGATGGACCCCGAGAAATCTAAGACGCTTAATCAGTTCAGAATCCGATACACCTGCGCCGGACACTAATGGAATTAATGGTATATCATCTATATAATACGTATGAAAAAATATTTTTAGCTTTTTTAGTTAAAGTTAATATCAATATTATTATTTTTTTATATTGCGCTTATGTGGAAATATTAATTATATTGTAACCATTGTTATATACGTTCTCTGAGCGTAAATGTAAAGCGCTGTATTGATTGACTGATTTCATGATTATGTAAAATGATTTCTAAAATTTACTCCCTAAGATCCGTATTAAGTCGGCAAATTTAAAATTATCGTATCATTTATCGTATCATATTATAACCTATTTAAATTACGGTATGGCGTTACAATAATGTTGGGACTTCTACCGGCGTCTCGGATGGTGACACGTTGTTTACCCATTCACAACATGTGATCGTCCCAACTGGTCCATTTTTTCAAATATGGCAATGAAATTGCTACAGTTATAGATCTCCGTCCAAATGGATTGGGTCGATTACCTTTCAGTACAAACAATTAAAGAAATGAAAATTTAATACTGATTTTTTTTCATAAAATATTTTATCTTTCAGAAGAATCCTTAGTGGAGACCACTTACAGCACAGTTAGCATAAACGGAGGGGATACAAATGTCGGAATGATTAATGACGAGTCTTCACTAGATAAGAGTCAATCTTGGAATGACGTCAGTGAGGTAGTCTTAATGATAAAACTTTACTTGTACGTAGTTCTCAGAAAATCCTTGTAACCGATTTTGCAGGTCAAGGAAATGTGAATTTATATTCTAAAACGTAAATCAAAATAATATAGGTGATCTTCGTGAATCGCGATTTGGTTTATAAATATTAAAACTATTGAAGTTATTGTGTTAAATAACTATTTACAAACTTTTTTTACTTCGCAGAAAAATTCTACTAATCGACATTTAAGCCGGATTAAAGCCCCGTTTATTTTTTTTTTATTCTTTGGGATTCACATTTTCAGCAAGATAAACAAACTTAAAATTTACAAATTTTATTTTAATTAGTTCACAAAACATAAATATTAACATATTTTGTGGTTATTCTACGAATTATAATAACATGAAGTTAATATTACGGTTGATATTACGATAAGTTAACGGCCGTCTGGTGTAGCGGTATGTGACATGGTCACTACACAAGGGGGTCGCGGGTTCGAATCCCGCCAAGGAAAATACTATTTGTATGATAAATATAAAATGTCTTTACCAGGGTTATGGATGTATATTAAAATATATGTATGTGTATAATAAAAACCTTACATTTATTTCCGTTATCTGGTACCTGTAACACAGTTTCTTTACGAACTTAGTACGGGACCAGTTAACGTGGCGTGATTGTTAGTAAATATTTATTTATTTATTCATTTATATAATTATTCATGTAAATATAATTTCAGTGCAAGATATGGCTAGAGTATGGTCTCGCGTGCGGTTGGTGGGGTATCGCCTTCTGGATGGCAGCAGCCACGGCGCAAGGCTTAGCGCTGGCAGCCGACTACTGGTTGATGTGCCTCACTAATGACAATTCCACAGAGAAGTTTTCTGATGATCAGGTTAAAATATATACAAAAAAACAATTACTTTGCCATTTTAATTCATGAAAAGCGTTGATCGGTACTTCTCTCTGAAAAAATACGATTCATTAAAGCTGTAGGTAAATTAAAAACCCTTATCACGTAAAAACTTGTTTGTCAACTAAAATGACTATTCAAGACAGATAAAAAAGGCGGACGCCACAAAACAATTAAGCTTCAACAAAAAGAAAGTATTCAAATGCGTAAAGTAGAAATCTCAGAAATTCAAAAACAAATATTATCTACAATTAAAGATACACAATTATACTTGTTGAACATCAGTTCCTTAAGTGAAACCCTAACAAAACATTTTAGTAGTTTTTAAAAGTAATATGAGTCCGTAATGTCAACAATTCGAAGGTTTCGCGGACCACAGGTAGACATCCCGCAGGCGAGTACGAATTTTTCTAATGAAATACGTATTCCGATATACGATTTCCGCGATGAAGGAACAATATCGTGTAATAAAAATCAAACCCGAAAAATTATAATTTGCGTAATTACTGGTGATAGGACGTCTTGTGAGTCCGCACTGTTAGGTACCACCACCCCGCTTATTTCTGCCGTGAAGCAGTAATGCGTTTCGGTTTGAAGGGTGGAGCAGCCGTTGTAACTATACTGAGACCTTAGAACTTATATCTCAAAGGTGGGTGGCGGCATTTACGTTGTAGATGTCTATGGGCTCCAGTAACCATTCAACATCAGGTGGGCTGTGAGCTCGTCCACCAACCAACCAACCAACTAAACAATAAAAACAAACAATAAAATAGGTATTATTGTAATGTGGTCAGTTGTGGAGCAGTGTCCGCAAGTACGGGTTGTGGTGCGCTGCGGGGGCGGGGGCGGCGGGCGCGGCGCAGGCGGCGTGCGCATGCGCGGGGGCAGGAGCGCGGCGAGTGCTGCATGAGCGCCTGCTGCACGCCGCGCTCTACGCCAGCCCCCACCACCACCACACTACGCCCACCGGGACCACGCTCCATCGCTTCTCCGCTGACGTTCTATTGCTAGACAAAGTTGGTTATCTCATATTATTATTTTATGATTTTATTGTAGACGATCTCACATCCCGTCCGACGATAGTGCTTAAAAATACAGCCTCAAGACAAATACCGCTGTCCAGTTTGAGACATGGGGTTGTGGTGTTTAAGAACGCACATTTTTTTTATGATGCGTAAGCCGGAACGCACGTGAGGCTAATAAGAAGGTAGTCGATGACACCAGAGTTTTACCGTTAAAAATGAGACGAAAATAATAATAAGTGTAGAACATAGATAATACATGTACAATAATGTAGAACATACATAATGGTTTTGTTAATGTATTAATACCGTTAATACGAAATAGAACAAGGATAAATTTAACGTTTTTAACTAACGGTTATTTTTTCTAGAAATTACCGACAGCCATAAGTCGGTGGACTCAGTTAGCTCTGCTATGTGCTGCGGCTATGCTTGTCAATGCTGTAGTCGCGCCCTGGAGCCTGACAGCACTCATACCGGCATTCTTGTGTTACCTCTGCCTACAATCTGTTTATTTACGTAATTCCAGGTAAATCATTGAACTTTAAATCTCTGTAAAAGTTGTAAAACGAGAAAAAGATATGGCTTTTTTCTGACTGCCTTACCAGTGATTCCCTTGCAGTATAAAAAAAATCATGTATCTAGTTGTTGAAATACAAATTGCCTCTTTGATCTTTGTTACTTAATATGACTCGTTTAATATTAAGGCCATATTATTAACAGTTTTGTAAGTTTAAATCTGTGAAAATATCGAACAAGTTCAATTGATAAACATACATCTAGATTTAAAATATTTATTCAATATTTTAGGGAGTTGCAGCAAGTGGAAGGACAAAGCGCCGGAAGAGTGGTGTCTCTTTGCAGAGAGACGTGTGCTGGAGGTTCTACCATACGAGCCAGCCGACTACAGACCCGCATGCGGACAGACTTCCTTCGACGTCTCGACTATAATCACAACGCTCTGCTGCTCCTCAATACTGCTAACCGGTGGCTTGGATTGTCTCTGGTAACTTCTTTTGGTGGAGACGAGCAAATTTCCTCACGTCTTCTATTTTTAAATACCTTGAGTTGTTCTGGATTATCCATACTATATATATTTAAATGCGAATATGTGTTTGTATTTGTTGATCGCAATTTTACCTCTTGACAACTCAGCCGATTGTCATAAATTTTGTATACACTTTTCGGAGATATTAAAAAGAACATTGGGTAGTTTTCATTTTGGAGGAAAAAGTAACACCCTTAGGAACATCTTTATATATATAATTCTACTGTACGTATGTATGTCATTTAACTCCTCCTAAAGGGCTGGACTTGAATGATTTTTTTTGTATGGGTTTGGGTGGCGCTCTGGATGGTTTAGATTTGCAAATCAGCCCGGCAGATGGCGCTGCAGTCGGTATCTAGGCTATTTATTTATACTACAACTTCACGGCTGGATCGACTTGAACGAATATTTGCAGGATAACGTCTGTCGGGTCCGCTAGTGCTTTATATTTTTCTATTCTAAGCGGCTTATATCCTAATTCTAACATGTCTTCAAAAACTGCTGAACTATATAGTATTGTCGTATTATATAATAAATTGAGATGATTATTTATTTATTTATTTATTTTATATACTTAGAAGGGTGGACGAGCTCACAGCCCACCTGGTTTTAAGTGGTTACTGGAGTCCATAGACAACGACAACGTACCTAAATGCACCACCCACATTGAGATATAAGTTCTAAGATCTCAGTATAGCTACAACGGCTACCCCACCCTTCAAACCGAAACGCGTTACTGCTTCAGGGTAGAAACAGGCAGGGCGGTGCTACCTACCCGTGCGGGATCACAAGAGGTCCTACCACCGGTAATTACGCAAATTATAATTTTGCGGGTTTGATTTGTTTTCATTTGAAATTATGAATTTTATAGGATCTTGTTGGCGCTGCGAGTGTTTGCGTGTCCCTGTGCGTGTGTATGTACAGCGGCAGTAGAGGCGCGGTCGCGGGACTAGCGGGCGCGTACTCGCTGCTCCTGCCCGCCTATCTCGCTCATCTTGCCAAATGCCGCGCCGACCTCGACCAGCAACTCGCCGCGCTGCATCGTATACATCGTGACACCAATGTACCCCGCGAAGATTATAGAGAGCATTGTATGTAGTTATTACATGTAATACGATACACAATTTTGATAGGTTCGAGTAACCAATTTTTTTTAAGGGATTTTATGACCTGGTAACTGAGACCTTTAAGTCATGTCTTATTTTAATTTATACTCATATTTTTATGAAAAATGATATTATGGAGTGAAATGAAATGAAGATGATTAATTTGAGACATTAATCAATTGGGATGAAATGTAATGAGATGATATGGGATGAAATATAATCTCAATAAAATGGTGGTCATTTACTAAGATCTTAGTGGACTTTTTGGAGGATCCCGAGAAGTTACGTCCAGCGGCTTTGTTTCATTTTCCCACATTTGTGCACTTTCAGATATTAAACAGTTAATAAACCACCATTATTACACATTTAAACCCGAAGAAACACTAAATAGACATAATAAAACAAATCACACGACTTCACTCCTCGCGTTCCCGCCAAAAAAAAGTCTCGAGTATCTAACCAATGTCACTGTTTAACACAGATTAATTAATATTGATATTGAGATAATGACTTAATATATATAATAAATTACCATTATAATTACCTACAGAAATATATATAATAAATTACCATTATAATTACCTACAGATCGAATACCGAACATTTAATTTTTTTTTATTGGCCTTACAAATAGTAATCCTTTGTTCTGTGACTGGTAGTAGATTGTCTTGTGAGCCCACACGGGTCGGTACAACAATCTCTAACGCGAACAATAATGGGTTTCGGTTTCAAGAGTGGGTCAGTTATCCTTTACAATTTCGACTTATATAATGTCAAAAAGCTTCGTTAACAATTAACTTCAGCTGAGCTCGATCTCTCTCTAATCAATAACTACATAATAACATACTTATGTACGCGATACAGAAACGTAAACTCACAGACTTCAGGAGCATGTTAGCTAAAACATTTTTTGTTTCATTTTTTCAAGGCTCTATTCCTGCAAATTGGCAAAGAAGCGGAAAAATTGAATTTCAAAATGTCAGCGTGCAGCACGAACCTAACTCGCAGAATATTTTGAACAAAATCAATATATCTATAGCTCCCGGTGAGAAGGTACGAAATAAAACAAATCTATAAGCTATAAATTCCTACGAGCAATAATTAAATACATATATAACTATTTTTTATCACTAGAACTCATAGACATCACGACAAGAATACTGCTAGCCATCTTGAGACATGAAGTACCAACCTGATGAACTAAAATTGTGTACCTAATGCTTCAAATAAAATGAATAAAAATGTATTTCACTGCAGGTAGCAATATGCGGCAGGAGTGGTAGCGGCAAGTCTACGTTATTAATGACGTGTGTTGGAGCAACCAGTATTGCCGAAGGACGAGTACTCATCGACGGGCAGGACGTGTCGCGCGTGCCGCTGCGGGCGTTACGTCACCGCGTGGTCGTCCTGCCGCAAGAGCCTGCCATGTTCTCGGGCACGCTGCGAGAAAACCTCGACCCGCTCGCCGTGCACACCGACGAAGAAATATGGCACAGTCTCAAAGTTGTCGGATTATATGATTTCGTCAGTGCTCAATCGGCTGGTTTGGGTGAGTTAGTAACAACTGCAGTAATTTTACTCCATTACTTTCATAAGGTCTTAATATATGAATAACCTACTCAAAAGTTGGGTGAATATATATATATATTGGACGCTATTCGTTGCTACCGCTCGCGCTGGCCTGTAGCTGGTATAGCGCTATGCGTTCGAGTGCCACACATTCACTCTCGCTCTGTCTCTTTCTAATATAGTAGCGTTAAACGTTTAACGCAACCTTGTTGGAAGTCGCATTAGAAGTTTCACACGACTCAAATTGTAACTGTGCTTTCCTCACGTCACCACAAAAAGATAAGTTACCGCTCGGGTAGGTACCACCAGCCCGCCTATTTCTGCCGTGAAGCAGTGATGCGTTTCGGTTTAAAGGGTGGGGCAGCCGTTGTAACTATACTGAGATCTTAGAACTTATATCTCAAGGTGGATGGCGCATTTACGTTTTAGATGTCTATGTGCTCCAGTAACCACTTAAGTGGGCTATGAGTGAACACAGTGGGCTATGAGCTAATCCAACTATCTAATCAATAAAATAAAATAAAATAAAGTTCGTTGTTATGAATGTTGATGTGTGTCGTAGAGTGCAGTATAGCGGGGCGCGGCGGGTGGAGCGCGGGACGGGCGGCGCGCGCGTGTGCGGCCCGCGCGGCGCTGCACGCCCGTTTAGCGGCCGCACTGTTGCTGGACGAGCCCGCCGCCGCACTCGACGCCGCAGCCGAGCGAGCACTTCTCACCGCAATGGCGCGCATCGCACCCGACACCACCATCATCACCGTCGCAGTACGTTGCTTTCGAATTTTAATATCGTAGGAAGGGGGGTCGCCGCACACGGGCCACCGGCCACAACCACGAAACGCCGCCACCGGCAAATTTTTACTGTAATTTTCATACATTTTATATGTAGCGTGTGGCGGCCACCGGCATCAACCGTGTGCGGCGAGTCCATATAAATTGTATGAAAACAAAAGGAAATAGGTCGGTGGTTGCATTTTGTGCCGACACTTAATCCTTTTGCAAACCCTATTTCCCAGTTTGGGGTAGGTGTTGTTTTGACAACTAAATTTAATAGCAAATCTTGGATGCGAAATAGTCGGCTTAAATTGACAACTTCGCATAATAAATTAATAATCTCGCTACTACAGACGGAAGGTTGGGATCTCAGAGTCAGACTTCGCATCATTATGTTATTGTTGCTTTTGATTAATCGCTGATCAAATAATTAATTACTCCGATTAGAAACCTCTATGATTATCTTTTTATTTATTTATCTCTAATTTAAATCTATACTTCTAAAGCAATATTTTGCCTAAATATGATGTCAGATATGGATCAAAATTATTTATTTCTATTAACACTGAATTTGATAAAATTTAGTTCATAAAACTAAACAAATTATAATCAGTTTATATCAGTTTTTAAGAAAAGTAAGTGTTTACTGTTTTTTTTTATGATTGAAGAATTACTGGTGGCCTTTCCACTTTCACCAGAACAGGTGGACGAGCAAAGGCTCAGCCAAGAGTGGGGTTAACTAACAGCTTCCCGAGCGCCTCCAAGTGTTTATGGTGAGATATTGTCGATTAATTTTTCAGCATCGCATATCGTCAGTGCGCGGGTACGACCGCGCCGTCGTTTTGGAGGAGGGTCGCGTGGTGGAGCAGGGCGAGGTGGGCCCGCTGCTGTCGCGGCCGGTCTCACGCCTCGCCCGCATGCTCGCCGCCGCGCACACGCACGTCTGACAACACACAACTCCCGGACCAATTTAAATTTATTGAACAACAATTTTTTTGTTCGCAACCTTACGCATCTATACCCACATAATCCATAGTTTAATACTACAAATGCGAAAGTTTCTTTGTTTGTTACGTTTTGAGGTCTTAACTATTTTTATCTCATGTTTTTGAGTTTGCCGGTACAATTGGAAAATAATTATATTCCATTTCTCATTAGTTATGTATTATTAAGATGAGTTTAAATGAAAATAAATCAACATTTTGTATTTGCGCACACAGAAAGACATTTCAAGAGTTTTTCAGTTACGATTGTTCGATGCGAATGAGTATGGCTCAGTAATTATGAACTTAAACTAACATTGAACGGCAGATAACAAAGACAACTTGCGCCATTTTTTTTTATCAAGAACACAGATTGGTTGTCACGGATATTCATATTAAAGAATATTCTGGAATCTGAATATACTCGCACGCTCTCATTCGTAAAATAGTCATTATGTTCACAGAATTGTCAATGTTGAGTTTTCAGGATTTTAATCCATAACAAAAAAAAAGGTATAATATAGAGTTCGCTACAGACCGTCGTAGACTATGTGACATTAACGTATAGAAACACGTTGACGCTTGCGACTGAGACAAAGAAATTGCTACTTTTCTATTAATTCCCTAGTATAAATTTTCATAATGTGAGGTAAATCATTTTTTTAAAGCCCAAACGCCAACCCTAGCACGTAGTCCTTTTGTCAATAAAACTGAAACATTTGGTACAACAGTGTTACCAGGTCACAAATGTCATTGCATGACACATTTCGAGCATGCACTTTTTTCTAACTCAATATGCATCTAATAAAATCTATCATAATATTATATTTAGTAATAAATGATGTAAGTCGTTTTCACTTCACTTGCGCTAAGAAAAAAGTAAAATTTAACCCTCATTGCAGCTTTAGTTGACAAGCTCCTTCTATGTTAAGAGGTATTAGATAATTTGACATTATTAGCTTTACTGAAGTTATCATTCTAGACCAGTTATTCTCAAAAATTGACGGCACCCAAAAAAAAAAACGATTAAAAGCCGTTTATGTAGTTACCTATAGTACAATTTAAAATAGTTTATTCTAATAATTTTGGTGCGGCCCAGTTGTTGAGAATCATTCAATCACAAAAAAAGTACGAATAGAAATTCAACAGTAGACTGCAGTCAAACATGTTCATAAGAATTATACACAAAGTTGTGGGAGAATTATTACGACGAGACTGAGATAATCAATGTTGATAAATATTTCTACTTATTTATGTACTTAATAAAGTTTTGACCATGAAAATAATAAAAATATAAAAAACAATTTTTCGTGTTTTTTTTTTTTCAAAACTGTATTTCCCATAGAACAACAATTGCACATAACTCATTTAAAGCTCACACGAACGCGCAGAGGAGCGTCGTCAAACACAACGTGCTACCAGAATCAACGATAAAACGTAAAATTATATATCACTACATAACAAATTACAACAATATTTACGTTGGCACCAATTTATATATATGTTGTTTTTAAAAAAAAACACTTGTGTCTTCGCACAATATAAAAATATATCCTTAAAGTACGTACTTACACGTAGATATACTTAGATTACGTAAATTTAAAATACAAATCTCGATATGACCACAAAGTAAATTCATTTCGCTTACGATCTACAAATTGAATTTCAAGTATTCGGACAGGACGGGCTGAAGTTAATGATGAACTTTCTGCTTTAATCTTTGGTTGACTAACTTTACAGAAGCTTTGTTGGTATAAACTATATTTTAGGTACGTCAAAGGCACTTTTTAAGGCCACAAATTTGTATTCAAAGTGATGTGTTGTTCCGCACAATAAATGCGTGCAATATCCAACTACTAAAAATATACTTGAATCTATCTCGTGTACATTTGAGTAATCGTACGATAATAATTTTTTTTTCAATTTTATCTTGGTGTTTTCAAATTTTCACGACTCAATGAAAACTACTAAAATATGTATATTAAATAAACACCGCAGGCACGTCGGCGATCAGACTGATTTTTTAATTTTTTTTTTAATTACAAACTAAGGTAACATTTACGCAATAAAACAAATCGAAAATAAATCTAATGTAACGTTTTTATCAGCTGATCGCCGTGTGTGGAGCGAAGGCGGACCGGAACTGAGTAAGAATCTTACAAATTGACAAAGAGAATTAATTAAAAAACAACAATACAATTTTTTTCGGCACGATAATTGTAATTCGGTAAAAGCGCAAGAAGCCCCAACAGTATTTAAGTTTGAAACGTTTTTAATTCAAAATGTCACTTGTTAAAGGGAGCAAAAAGTTAAAGGAAAATAGAGGAAAATATAGTTCAATAAAAATAATGGAACAAATTTAAAGAAAATCCGGGCTCCCATTACGCGTGGGAAATGAAAAGAGTGCTAAATACAGGAAGATAAGGTTTCATTGCGTCAAGTGCTCTAAGATGACTTGTAACAACTTGCGGATTTTCCCGAAAATTAGGGAGAATCCACGTTAGTTAGCGGACACATTTTAACAGTATTTTCTCGGGAAACAATGCAGTATAGACGTTGGTAACACTGACTAGTGCAAAGGGAAGCAGGATTCCCTACCGCTCCATAAGCTACTAATTCGTCCATGGATATAATCTGTACGCGTACATTAAATTTTTTCAAAAATGATATGAAATTTCAAAATAATCTTTACAACAATTAACCCTCTCAACGTTCTGATACAATCATCGGTGCAAAAGCATTAGAGCATTACCAATTATTAAATATATTTTTAGCAAGATATACATTACTTCATTCTTTTAAATGTTCATTTCAAGTGTTCATTATGTTTTCCTCTTTTTTTAAAGTCGTTGTTGCCAAAAATATTTTTCTAAATCGCAAAAACCTTCACAAGCTACCCACCCGTATTTCGTGGTTTGCAAAGTTTTCACTAGGTGGCGCTAACAATAGTACGTGTTACCCTAATTACAAAGAGCAGTAGAGACGGGTTAGGGCTGCCCGGTCTGGTTACGAGGGTTCTGTCTTGACGGCGGCGCCGGCGGCGACCGCGGCGCGCGCCTCGTCCGGCAGCCGCTCGGGGTTCGTGAGGATGTCCGTCGTCGTGCACAGCACGCGCAGGGAGTTCAAAACCGCTGCAAATCATAACCACATTACAATCGTGAGGCTGAGTGGTGCCCCACACCCCGGATGGCAACAGAAATATTGCCGTGCATCATTAAAATAAATATAGATATAATTTAGTAAAAACCGGATCACTTCACAAATATTGGAAACTGTTATAAGCCGCGCCAATAAAGAAACGAATCTAAAATAGCGGCGGCAATCATACGTTCTCACTGTAAACTATTGCTGTCTTAGGTCGCTCACGGCGCGTACTGTATGCAAAAAAAATATCAGTTCTGACTTTGTTCTCACGCTGTCTCGACGCGCTTTGTTTTCTCTCAAATTCTGTTGTTATTTGTTGCATTTGTTCGTATTTTCGTTGTTATTTTGTTGTTTTTGTTAAATTTGTTATTGTTATCGTTTTTTTTTCACGTGTGCTAAATAATATGGCCTCTCACAAACGAGGAAAAGTCCTTCACAGTGATGCACGCGAAATCATGTATAACGTTATTAAATACTTTGAACAGGAAAAAAAAATTGTTTTTTTATATTTTTTTACAATAAAAAACTTTCTATCTTTCTTTTTATTTGTTGACCCTACCATCTGTCAGTGCAGGTACATAGACGCCATTTTCGATTCGTTTCTTTATTGGCGCGGCTTATACCTACCCTCGCGAGCTCACACCGAACACCAATAATTTATTAATTAAATTACTCAAATGTGTTCGATTTATACCAATATGTACTAACAGTTTACATGACTTTATTCCTTCACCATGCCAGTACACACAGATGTTAGGCATTAACTTTCAAAAAGATAGTGGTTACTCTGTTATCAGTATTAATGTCATTCAATGTAATGAATAAGTTTATTGACTGGCGAAGGGATTATAAGTAATCTTAAATGACAGTTTCTAAAGGTCTATTTAGTAAACGATAGTTCTTATTTTTTTAATATTCATCAAAATTCCAATTTGTATAAATTTACCGGTGAGATTTTTTTAATACGGGAACCGAATAAAAAATTACACGAAGTCAGTGCACGAACAATTAATTAAAAAAGTTTAGGTCCGACTCCTGGTTGCCGGACTATGTCATACGTCAATGGGATCAACGTTGCTAATGGACATTGACAAAGACAACCAAGCCTTCAATAGAGTAAAGGGTGATTGTATGATTCTAATAATATTGAGACTTCCACTTCACATAGTATTTTTCTTTGGTTTATGTGAGTCCTGGAATATCTGGAATTTACTGGTGGTAGAACCTCTTGTGACTACTGGTGGTAGGACCTCTTGTGAGTCCGCGCGGGTAGGTACCACCACCCTGTCTATTTCTGCCGTGAAGCAGTAATGCGTTTCGGTTTGAAGGGCGGGGCAACCGCAACTATACTGAGATCTTAGAACTAATATCTCAAGGTGGGTGGCGCATTTACGTCTTAGATGTCTATGGGCTCCAGTAACCACTTAACACCAGGTGGGCTTTGAGATCGTCCATCCATCAGAGCAATAAAAAAGAATCTTATGCCAGTTAGGACTATTTTCGACGTCTCCAATTACAGTTGTACGTTCCACTTCGTGTCTGAAGGTGAGCGGTACCCGTCACGACATGTATGAGTTTCAATGGCCTCTTAGATCCTAGTACAATTCGATTGGATGCAGAGTGGAAACGTTACCGGGGCGCATCTCCACGAGCGAGCAGTGCTGCTCGGCCCAGAGCAGCGTGGTCCGCACCAGGTCGGAGCCGCTGCCGCACGACACGCACGCGCTGAACGACTCCACCAGCGCCGCCGACACCACGCTGAACTTCGCACGAGTCAAGGCAATAGACGCTTCGGTTTTACATTCAACAACTACCCACGTTTTCCGTCCACAAAAATAAACAACTACCCACGTCTTCCGCCCACAAAAATAAGCTTTAATTACTTTGACATCGTACCAAAAATATACCGTGTCATAGAGAGTACTTAATGGTAGACAGCGGCTTGGCTCTGCTCCTGGCATTGCTGAATTGTCTGTCCGTGGGCGACGGTAACCATTCACAATCAGGTGGGCCGTATGCTCGGCTGTCTGAAAGGGTAATAAAAAAAGTACCTACTTACTATAAGGCGTGTGATACTTACAATATTTACAATATCTACAATATTTAAATAATGGTTTAAGAAATCTAAAAAACAGGCGTTTGTAGCTAGCTAAACTAAAAATTAGAGAATAATTTTACATAAGTAAAAAAAAATCGAATGATTTATTAAAAAGAAACATTTTATCGCAAAAAAGGGTGGGGTACTTATTAATATATTTTATCATATCTTGAATTTTATCAAAAGCGTCTTAAAATTTATCTCAAATTAGGATTTCCTGTACTATGGTAAAAGAAAACGGAGATAAATATTTATCTACATTAACATTTTCTTATTACTCTGTATATTTTCTTTTAAGAATTACACGAAAAACAATGGCACGATGTCGACGGAGGCTCAGTGATTTAACTATGGAATTATTAGTACGTTCGTTTAGTACGTACAAAAAAAAAATTCCTACCTAAGCTGATGATAGCCTTGAGAGCCTATTTCAGCGTAACCTTAACTAGTAGGTGAGCTCACGGGGCTCAAACCGGGGTGATGCTAACACTGACCCTAGCAAGAGCAGTGCTTCGCAGAATCTACCACCGGATCGGAAACGCGACCCACTGAGATGATCCGGCGAGAAACTCAGTGGGCTGTGTCTGTGGGCTAATTCGTCGAAGCGACAGGTTCGACGAGGACGGTGACCGGTGCTTGTGGCACCCAAAAGCACCGTTAATGGATCGGGAGGATCCGTAATGACGTGTTTTGGGCTAATTGTAATGTTGTTTTGTTCGAAAGGATACGAGCCAATACTTCCAGTTGTGCAGGGTCCGGTTGGCCACGTGCCGCGCGAACATCTCCCGCAGGCGGCCGGCGCGCGCCCGCGACACCGGCGCGCCCGTCGCCGGCAGCAGCGAGTGGCAATTGCTGCACATTAGTCAAACATTCAACCACTTATCTAGAGTATATACATCTAGACTCTAGAGTATATTTTTGACTGGTGATAGGACCTCTTGTGAGTCCGCACGGGTAGGTACCACCGCCATGCCTATTTCTGCCGTGAAGCAGTGATGCGTTTCGGTTTGAAGGGTGGGGCAGCCGTTGTAACTATACTGAGACCTTAGAACTTATATCTCAAGGTGAGTGGCGCATTTATGTTGTAGATGTCTACAGGCTCCAGTAACCACTTAACACCAGGTGGGATGTGAGCTCGTCCACCCATCCAAGCAATAAAAAAAAAAAAACATCAATTTAGAAGGTGCACTAATGAAACCCAGCTCTGTTCAGCTGTGTGTACGAAATTCTTTGCAATCGTGTCACTCTTGACAGAATGGTCGTGATCGTCATGTTGTGTTAGAGAGGGGGCGGTATTAGTGGAGGGGTATTGGGGGAGAGGGTTGTTGTACGGAATACATCAAATTATTGAACCTACTCGACGGCTACCTGTCAAAAATCAAAATCAACCCTAAAGTGCAGATTGTATATAAATAATATAACAACTGCACATACAACCCAACAGATCAGATCATGAACAAACAAACAAACAGACTAACACACCATTTATATCTGATGTCAAACTTGGCATTCATATGCCTTGAGTTCAGTGACTACTACAACAAGCGGGTCATAACGAAAATTAAAATGAAAACACTGCTAGACATTAGGATGATGAGAAGTAGAAATAACTCAAAGCCGTACATTGTGTACGCGTATCTTCTGTTCAATAACAATGGCTATGTCGAAAATCATTTAAGTTAATCAAATCTTAATGGGTACAATTATCTTGCCAGCTAGAAATTGATACAATAGACTCGGTAAATTATTTCGTACGAAACAATATGTTTCAAACTTATTTTGATCTGGTATGCTGTGGGTTGAACACGCATCCTTGCAATAAAAAAATTTAAAAGCGTTCCCGTTTACATTAAAAACCTCCAACCAGAGCGCGGCGTCTATTCGCGCAGACTAAACCACACATACGTAATGGAATATACAATGTTTGTACATTTAAACACACAAATTCATAATGTAATCTTCGAGTGACAGTGTCAATAAGATTATATATATATAACACCAGGGTCGATAATACGTTTAATTGTTTTTAATTAACTAAAATATGTTTACTTACGAA